CCCAATTTCTGGCTTTAAGTTTTTTTTTTTTTTATTAATAAGACCATTTAGCAATTCGTCTACACATATCCAACCTCCCCCGTCCTGCCCTATACATACATCCATGAGTTCTTTCAATTATGCTGTTGTGTTCTTTTGGCATACCCCACATCTATGTGTTTAGGTCTGGGTTTTTCTTTTGAGTATTATCGGCTACTAGCTCACCCTCTGTGTCTTTCTACAATTCCTAGATTCAGGTATTTCCCCAATGCTTTCTGGTTTCTTTTAATCTTAAAAATCATAAAAACCTAAGTATGGGTAGTAGGTATCCATGTTCTTAGGGTCTTGGATTTCCAGTTCATGAGAACATCTCTGAATTTACTTAGATCTTGAGTTTTTCATCAGTCTTTCAGACTTCCTCCTTTAGGTTCTTTACAAATTTATTAGACTTCTATCTATGACACAAGGTGGGGATAAGCATTTTTTTTAATTTCAAGATCAGACTGTACATTGCTGGCACATAAACCAGCAATGGATTTTGTGTGTTAACTTTTTGTCCTAAAATTCTGCTATAATTGCTAGTTAGTGAAAATGAGGATTTAGGAAACTTGTTTTGTTTTGTTTTTTTATATAGATAGACAATCATGCCACCTGTAATTTTATTTTCTTTCCTTTTTCTATTATATTTCACTGGCTAGGCCTTTGGGAATGTCTTATGCACACAAGCACTTTTTAATACTTATTCTTTTCTCAGCCATCACTTTCTTCAAATTTTTCCTTTCTCAAGCCAGTCTATTTCTTAATTTTCTGGTTTTTTGTTTTGTTCATATTTTATCACTTAAAAATGTCCCCATGTTTAGTCTGAAAGCTGGATATAGTCTCATCCCTCTATCTGCTTCCTTGTTCTTTTTGTATTGTGGCATCTTTAAATGCAATCCAGCCATAATCCTTTTGTGTGGGATTCTTAAAAACATTTACTGTGAGTGAGCCTATACCATGGAGCTGGTGCGGAGGTAAGAGGCAATTTTCAGAGTCAAGTCACCTTCCACCATGTGGGTCCTGTAGATTGAACTTAGGTCCTCCGGCTTGGCAGCACGTATCCTTATTCACGAAGCCATCTTGCTGACTTTTAAGGAGGGGGTCAAACTGCTTTTCTACTCTCAAGACTACAAATACCTGTCACTTTTGTAAAATGGCACACGTGAACCTGTGTCACGACCTTCACCTCGCCCTTCCTTCACTTGCATTTGGACTTTCTTTTCCCTCTTCCTATTGGCTGGTCCTGTTCAATTTAGACCCGAGCATTTTCTCCAAAGTGCTGGGCTTAGGCCGGGAGCAGCGCCCCCATTCGCAGGTTTTACAAATTCCACAGTGACAACTTCAGAGCTTCCTGCTCATTCTTTTTCCGTTGCCTTGGACTTGAGTCTGCTGGACCACCTGCCAATTTTCTTGTTGGTGTCGGTAGTACCCCTTACTTTTCAGCAAATGCTTGGCAGTTTGTGACCCTCCTGTTCTCAGGGCTTTCGGATCCTCTTCTGCCTAGTTACAGCAGTTGGAGACAGCTGGCCACACTCAATGCTCCACTTGTTTCTATGAGGATATTCAGGAGGTTCACAGACATTCCTCCCTAGGCATCTTCCTAGCATCTTCAATATTTATCAATTACAAGTTACTTTTCCTCTATTTTTCTAAGTCAACCAAAGTGCCAGTTGAAATAAATACAGCCAAGAAGCTGTTTTTTCTTTTTAGATACCTTTCAAGTCATGTTTTAGATTTGCTCCCATTTGGGCTCTCCAGTCTAAAATTAAAGAATTCACAAGTGTTACTCTGACCCCCACCTACCACTCCAACTTGCTGAAGCGTACTCAGATTTAAAGTCTTAACCAGATTGACAAAAATAGAATTTTTAGTGACTGTCCAATGTGTCCAAACATATGGAGAAGCTCATAATTGCATATCTTACCATGTTTTGTGTCCTAAAATTCTGCTCTATCTGTAGCCCTCTTCTTACTTTACAATCTGTGGTCTAACTTAAACTGGCTACCAATTGTCTGAAATTGGTACACAGATATGATTTATTTAGGCTCCTCAATATTTATTTGTGATTAAATCACATAAACTCTATTTTTTCATAAATGTTACTGCATACATTTAAGGCATACAACATGATGCTATGGGCTAGATATGAATAGTAAAAAGGTTGCTATGGTGAAACAAATTAACATGTCCATCATTTCACAGTTAACCAACTTTTTTGTTTCCTTTGTGATGAAAGCTGCTAAAACCACTTCATTAGTATGAAAATACTGTACAGAACAACTCTATGGCCTAGCCTGCAGGCCTCAGGTTATGCATTTACTCTCTAGACTTGTTTATTTTATATATGTTACTTTGACTCACATCTTCCTGTCCTCCCCCATGATTCCCCTTCCTCATAACTGCCCCTTTATCCCCTAATTCTGCACACTTGAGTATTATTTTCCACACATAAATAAAAACACAAAATATTTATTTCGCAGTACACTGTCTTCCTAGCTCATTCATACTTTGGCAGATGGCAAGATCTCGTTTTTTTTTTTTTTTTTTTTTGGTTTTTCAAGACAGGGTTTCTCTGTGTAGCTTTGCGCCTTTCCTGGAACTCATTTGGTAGACCAGGCTGGCCTCGAACTCACAGAGATCCACCTGCCTCTGCCTCCCGAGTGCTGGGATTAAAGGTGTGCGCCACCACCGCCCGGCCAAGATCTCGTTTTTTCAGGGCTAACAGCTCATTGTATATATTTAACAGTTTCTTAATCCTTCGTTTGCTGACATGGACAGATACTAGTTTCCCTATCTTGGTGATGGGGAATGCTACAAGGAACACAGTAGTGCAGATATCTACGAGGCAGTGACAGCATTTTCTCAGATTTATGTATGTCGTTCTATTTTTAACTTCCATAGAAACCTTTGTACTATTTTCTATAATGGCTCCTCAGTATTTTAAAATGCACAGCAGTGTCAATACCTACAAACCACATTTCACACAAATTCAACTTTTGACTTCTCTTTCAAAACTTAAGGTCTGCTATCGTTGGGGCCACATTGCCACTTGGAGCTTGTACTCTGATTAAAAAGTTAACACCCTCTCAGGCTTCCCTGCAGGTAACTCCTCTCCTTTGTTACATTCCTGATTCCACAGATATAATAGGCTTGTGACCCATGGAAACCTCTTCTATTGGCTCAAAGTACAAACACGTACTGTTGAGTTTTAAGTCTGTTCCTATTTAGATGCCTGCAGATCCCCCAGATTCCACATATATTCAAACCCAAACTTGCTAATAATTTTTAAGTCCGATTTCCTTCTAGTGTTCTCTAAATGATCCAGATAATGGAATTATATTTCTACGATTGTTCAAATTAGAAACACCTTTAGAGCTATGCTTTCTCCTTTCTTCCTTATTCTACCCATTGCTTTTCAGCCACTGTGTAAAACCATCACATTCTGGTCTTTGCTTTCACTGTGTTGTGAATTCTTTTTTTTTTTTCTTTACATTTGGAAACTCCTTACTTCCCAAGATACAGCAAAATCACAAGATCTCTGAAACTATCTGTTCAAGAAACAGTCACTTTTTCCTGTATGTCTAGAGGCATCTTAAGTATGTATTCACTTCTGGAGCCCCTGTTCCTTTAGGACAGAGATAATCATTTAGTAATCATCATCATAGAAAGTCATAAGACAAACTCCATGGCTGTTTAATGTGTTAAATAAACATGAGTCTTATAAATCAATGACTGCTTCATATCACATGACCTTACCTTAAACTTTTTATATGCTTCTGTTTTTCTGCAGTTTTTGCTGGTACTTTTTTTTTTTTTTTGCATACTTCGGATTGCTTCTGCAACTACAAGATCAAATAACTAAGTCAAAAATTTGCTGACATTATTAAAATAAGGATTTTCTCATAACTTAAAAACTTTTAAATATCGAGGATGCTAGGCATCACCTCTGAAAATGTATCATCATTTATAAAACAGATCCCACAGGGGCAACTGAACAGCTGCTGAAAGATTTGGCACACTACTATGCCAGCCTGAATTTAATGACCTACATGTGAAGGGCTCCATATCCAATTACTAATCCTTGCTCAGCTACTCTCTGCCCTGATATGGAGGCAGCTGAAAAAAGATGTCCTACCAACAGATCATAATTGGATCCAGCTTTCATGCCAATGCTCAGTTAACAGAAATCTTTTAGATTTGAGAGATCCACAGCAGAATCCTGGCTCATGTCCCAAATAAAACTGGAAATTTTAAAGACAGACTTCGGTTTTGCCACTAAATTCAGAGACGTTTCAGTACATGTAAGATCATGTAACCATGTTCAAAGGTCAAGCATCAAGAAAAATATACATCATGGTTCTTTCAATATTGAAAGGGCAGACTTCTATTCAAAGATTTGAAAATAGTTTATCTCCAAATTCTGTAATAGTCATCAATCAAAAAGGCCAAATTTTAAAAAAAAGTCAGTCTACACACTGCTTAATTTTTTTTTCCCTCGGCTGGTCTATATTTAGCAAAAAGATTATATAAGGTCAAGTATTACAAACGATGAAATATCACGTGTTTTGCAAATTAGCATAGGAAAACCTCAAAAGAATGGAGTGTAAAGCGTATGTTTTTACTATGGATATAAAAAACTTCAATTCTTAACGTCAATACATTTTTATTAAGAACTTCACTTTAAGTTTTTTCCACTTATGAAAACCATGGTTTGGTAACCTTTACCTAGATAAATTAGAAATCATTTGGGCAATAGATCACCCTCTCAACACCGAGAAAATAAAAGCATTCCGTCTGTTTCGTATTTTGATTTCTGTAAGTGGGGCTATACTGCACTCGCGACCCGAGCTGATACATGAATAAACGCCTGTGAGTACAAATTAATTCTTGCCAGGGAAAAACAACTCGCGGTACCAACTACGTTCTCCAGCTAAACCCAGGTCTCGACCCCGCCCCCTACAAGCCCCGCCCCCTTCCCCAACTTGTTTGTAATTGGCGCAGTTCGATGACGTCAGCCGTAAGTGCCGTAGCCAGGCGTGCAACCACCGCCTCTGGGAGTTGAAGTTTCTGCAGGAGGACTGACGCGTGGAGCGGTGGGCACCTCAGAAAGGCGTTCTGACCAAACCCTGGCGTTCCCCATCGGCCCCGCGGCTTGGTAAATATGGCACTGCGACTGTTGCGCGGCTACTCTTTGGTATCCTTTCGGATGCTAAAGGAACGCGAACTACGCCGCCCTCCGCTGCAATCACGGCTTCCGGGGGAGAGGGCAATAGCCCGGGAAGTAATTGCCTGGTCCCCGAGGATGTGACGTCAGGTGGCGCGTCCCACGCCGCGCCCCACGGCCTTCCTTGCCGCGGCCTGATTGGTCAGCTGCGTTGGTCCGGCTGGGCCGCGTTGGCGCGGCGAGGTCGGGGCGGGCTCGCGGGCCTGTGTCTGCGCGTGCGCGGGCCCTGGGCCGCGCGGGTCTCTTAGGTGTCTGTTGTTCGCGGGGGTCTGTACAGGAAGTGTGACCGGAAGAGAAATGTGGAGTCTGAGGCCCGCCTGTCGCCGGGCTGCGTTGTTGTTGGAGAGCGGGCGAGGCGCTCTCCCTGCCTTTCCTCTGTTCTCTTCCCTGGGCCTGATGTGCCCGGCGGGCGAGCGGGTGGAGGGAGTCGAGGGGCGGGTGCTGCAGATGCGCCTGAGCCTCGGGGTGAGCTGAGGACGAGGTTCAGATCCACGAGCTGTTAGATGTCACTGGAGTCCATTGTGTTTAAAATGCGGCTATTTGTCCGGAGGTGTAAAGACTTCGTAGGCGATGATTCACTTAAAAAAAAAACCACGAACAAAAACGCCCAAAACTGTCTTCTAAGATTGCTCCCAAGCCAGCACTCTGGTCAAAGGGATTTGACGAATGAACAAAGGGCTGTTTCTACTGCGGAACTGACCAACACGTTTAAAAAACAACAACAAAAACAACTGTTACTGGCAGGTCATTAATTCTATTCTGCAGTTACTGCGACTCGGCAGTTCCCGAAAAGAAAACTTGAAAACCACCAAGGCTGTTTTATTTTGATTCGGTATGGTAACAGCTGAGGTTTTTGTCTTCGATGATGTGTGCTCTCCCCACACCAAATACTCTTAGTCATCATTGTCCAGTTTTATATTCCCATCTGATACCCTATATCCATGAGTTAGCCATCCATTTTTAAAAATTGTGCTGCAGTAAAATTTCACGCTTAGGTTCTATACTTTCTGTAAAATGTTCCTAAATACTTGCTTGACTTGACTCAGTGAATGAAAACATACTGTGAGCATCACTGCCAACCGGTCAGGGAGGAGCCCCAGACACTCTGCCATAGAGACGTCATAACCCAAACTAAAAACAAAGTATGCTCAAAAGTGCCATGTTTTGCATAACAGGTTATTGCAGCAAATTCGTACACAATGTGTTTATTGTATGGTAGACAGTCGGAGCGGAAGCTATCTGGGTAAAGTCTAGCCAAAATAAGATAGCCAGCTAGTATTTTATCTGCATTTCATGTGTACGTGTTTCAGTACGTCTGGCTTATTTAATTAAAGCTTAGGAAACTCATCCAGCACAGCGTTTCGAGAATCGATTAAAAAAATATTAGGTCTAGTTCATGTTTCCTTATTTTTGATAGGCTGTTTAAAAATGTCACTATTCTGCGATAGGTCAAATTAAATTTAACTTGAGGCATTTTAGATGTGAAAGACAAAGTCTCCCCCTGGTGGAGGTGAGTTATAAAACATGGCTTTTGTAGTCCTCACAGTATAGCTCAACACTTCAGGTTTTGAACCACATAGAGAACTACTGAAAAACATTGCCATGGATAAGCAGAAATGGAAATTTTGTTTCATAAAATGTTTTCCTGTGAATTTTAGTTTTTCTTTTAAGTTTTCATGTTTAATAAGAGTCTTGCTTTTCCCTTGCTTTTCCGTTATCTCTATACATTTTTGAGTCTAATGCCTTCAGAGCCGTCTGTCAACAGTGTGCAGTCAGCACGGTCCCTTCAAAACCCCCACCTCCAAGGATTTAGGTGACTGGGAAGTGTTGATGTTGGAGCTGGGTTTGAGTCATAACGCCGTGATTTCATTCTTTCTCTCTCACACTCTCTGTCTCAGTCTCTTTTGGTTTATTGAGACAGGGTTTCTCTGTGTAGCCCTGGCTGTCCTGGAACTCGCTCTGTAGACCAGGCTGGCCTCGAACTCATAGAGTCTCTGCCTCTCCGAGAGCTGGGATTAAAGGTGTGTGCCACCACCACCCAGCTCATTTGTCTCTTTAATCAGCCAAGTATTTTGAGTATATTCTGTCTGCTAGATTTGTTTGAGATGCCTTGTTTCATAGGAATTATTTAATAACTTTTAAATTCAAATAAATCCAATCTCATGGTGACTTCTTTTTAAAGTAAATCTAATACAGTCCACTCTGGTGAGGTTGAGATTTTGTTAGGTGATGCATTCTTTATCAAACTCAGGAGGAATTAGTAACTGTTTGGTATTACTCTTATTTCCTTTTCAAGTGATTGAAATACCGTATCTATTCACTCAGTTATCCTAAGTATGAAATAAGAATCAAGTAAATCTCAACTAATGTGACACTGTACTGTCAAAGAACATGAGAATCATATAATAAAATTACTGTTTATGTTCTGCAAGGGTTTTGTTCTCTCATTATTACATTATGGAAGATTGTTTTCTTTTTCTTCTTCTTCTTCTTCTTCTTCTTCTTCTTCTTCTTCTTCTTCTTCTTCTCTTTCTCCTCCTCCTCCTCTTCTTTTTTTTCTTTTTTCTTTTGCTTAGATTGTAGCCTCTCTGTGGAGACTTACTCGCTAGCTGTATTTAAAAAAAAAAAAAAAAATCTCCAAATGTTCCTTAAGGCCATAGACTACTTAGTAGATTACGCTTAGTCTTTGGCAGGGATCAATAGGAAGCACTTTCCAGCTTTGTTGTGAATACTCCTGAAGAGTAAAGACATTGCAGTGTGTTTAGCCTCCCTCTGAGCAGCAAGTTCAGTTCTAGCTAATATGGATCCAGAGGCATGTGGTTAGATTTAAATGAAGATTTATTTCAGCCAACCCTAAGAATTTCACAAACTGATTACAGAATCAACTTTTACATTTTCTTTAGCCATAACTAAAGCGTTTCCAGATATACAATGACTTTACTAGAGAAAGAAAACTTGTGTCATTCAAGTTATAAAATATAGATATACATGAACAAAAGTTGAAGATGAGTGTGTACTTTTTAAAAATAAGTTGATGTCATAGGAGTGTTAGTATTTGTTTTGATACTTATGTAAAATATAGCCATTTCCTCTCATCCATAAGTAGTTTTGGAAATAGCATTTTTACTGGCTTATATGTAACTGACCTTATAGAGTTAGTATATATTAGTTATTTATTAGAGGAACCATATTTATTTACTCTTTTTGCTGACACTCAAGTAAATTCTGGCTTTTCACAGTTAAAAATAATGCTAGAATGAATGCAAATTTTAATGTACATTTCTGACTCACAGGAATTTATTTTAAGAAAATAAATTGCTAGGTCAGCATGTGTCCTTGTTTGATTTTCTGTTGCTGTGATAAAACACTCTGACCAAAAGCAAGCTAAAGGAAGGGTGTTTCTGGCTTATGCCTCTAGACCACGGTTCATCACTGAGGGAAGTCATGGCAGGATCTCAAGCAGAAACCGTGGTGTATGCTGCATGGCAGCTTACTCCATTGCTCATGTTAGTGAACATCCTCATACGGCCCAGGACCACTTGCCTAGGGATGGCACTGCCCACAGTGGGCTGGCCCCTTCCACATCAATAAACAGATATGGCCACAGACCAATATCATCTGGGCAGTCCCGCCACTGAGCCTTCCTCAAATAACCCCGGGTTATGTCGTCTTGACTGTAGGACAGTATCAGTGTATAACAACTCTCAAAACGTAACTTGCCTTCTGGAAAAACTGTATGATGCCCCTCAGTTGTATATGTAAACACCAGTCCTTTACCAGTACTGTCAACGAATGTATTTAATCCATGTTAAGTGATAAAGATCTTTGCCAATAAATGGAATTTAACTATCTAAATTTGTATTTTTACTACTGATAGAGTTTAACATTCGCTGGCATCTTTTGGCCATTTGGTTTATTTTGCTTTGTGTTTATAAATTATCTATTCATATAAACAATGTTGTTTTCCAGTTTTTCAGAAACAACAAATATGTCCTCTGAAGTGCTGCCGGCATCTCTTGAGACTCCTAACGTGGAAAGAAAGCCAGGCGTGGGTGAAGGTGAAGAGGAGGGACAGAAGCCAAGATCCGATGCAGGGACTGGGCCACTATCTAAACGACAGATGAAGAAGCTGCTGAAGCAAAAACAGTGGGAGGAGCAGCGAGAACTGCGCAAGTGCGTACTTCCGCGCATGCCACTGCTCATTCGGAAACGGGGAGCCGGGTCCTCTTAATAGTCGTCTGCATTGAAACTGAAGTTACGAAAAAATAAGGTTATGCATGTTACTAGCTAACACTGAGTTGCTGTTAAAACCACACATGCTTCGATTTTGTGACGTTTCTTGCAATACTGATGTTAGGCTCGGCACCTTTTCTGCCCTAAAACTGCCTGCCTGGCAGGACACCTGTTAGAACAGCTGAGACAGGGAGCGGGTATCTGTGTCCTAGATACGGCATGAAACAGCAACACCGGAAGGTCAAACATTGGCCTGACATGGATATGGCTAAAACAGGTTTCCATGAAAGCATTTAGGCCAGAGCCATTGTCTAATGCCAAAACTTAGATTAGAAAAGCACTGGGCTTTTATTTTTGTTTTTAGTAAATTTAGTGAAATTTTCTTTTTAGTATTCCTAATGATTATTGAACTAGAAAATCGTTTAGGGGTGAGTTATGAAAGTAAAATTCTTCATAACTCTTGTTTTTTCTAGGCCTAGTATAGTTCCAGTAATGAAACTATTGAATGATATGTTCAGTTCCTCATTAAAGACAGCTGTATACTATCTTTGCAAAGTCACTGGCTCCGTGTGTGAAGCTATTGCCTGGAGTAATAAAGCTGCTGCTTCTCTCTGGCCTTTTCTCCCCACAGAGGAGCGCATGTTTCATAGAACGTGACCGTTTACAAACAGAGCTGCCTTTTGTTTAGTTATAAGTCTTGTGAACGTCTAAAGGCACACATAACGACAACGTTGTTTTGTTTACTAATTTTAGGGAAAAACGGAAAGAAAAGCGCAAGAGAAAGAAGTTAGAGCGACAGTGCCAGCTGGAGTCCGGCTCCGACGGAAGTGACAGGAAGCGCATTCGAAGACAGGCTGTTCATAGCGGCCTCCGCCTCATCATCGACTGCAGTTTCGATGATTTGATGGTGTTAAAGGTACCACGAGGTCCCTGTGTGAGAGCTAGGTTAAATCACTTGTTCTTGTGGGGAATGTTGTAGACAGTAGTTATGTATTAAACTACATCTTAAGTTTTTCAAAATCTCTTACTCCCAAATTAAGTGCTTTTATATGTATATGCATATTTATGTTTATGCTTATGTACACATAGGTAGACATTTACCCATAATTAGATAGTAAAACTTCATAACTACATATTAGTTATAAAGATCTATAGAGTTACTGTGATGACATCTGTCTGTAATTCTGTCACTTGGGAAACGGAGGCAGGAGGATCTCAGAGTTTTAGGCTAGCCTAGGACATATAGCACATTTGAAGCAAGCCTGGACTACTTAGTGAAATCCTGTTTCAAAAAAGTCTGTAGCAGGCTTGGAGATATGGCTCAGCAGTTAAGAGCACTCGCTGGTCTTGCAGAGGACCCCGGTTTGGTTCCCAGCACCCATGTAGTGGCTCACAACCTGTGGAACTTCAGTTTCAGGGCATCTGACCCCCTCTTCTGGCCTCCAGAGGCACTGCATGTACATGGTACACAGACATATTAGCCAAGTGCAAACACTCACAAGTTTTGTTTTAAATCTTGCATTTTACCAGTACCACTGGGGTAAAGTATGGACATAGCATGATTCTAAAAAGAAGGTTTTGTTTTTCTTGTCTGTTAAGACAGCGTCAAGTGGCATTTTGAATAGATACTTTAAAGGACAGAAGGATAGGTGAATTATGGAGCATTAGCTTTACATATAGAAATTTTGTCAGTGTGTAGGAAAATCAAATGAAAACTATCACAGTCGCCTTTATTTATTGTTGTTTTTTAAATTGTGCTATTTTATAGGATATTAAGAAACTTCATAAGCAGATTCAACGATGTTATGCAGAAAATCGACGTGCATCACATCCTGTACAGGTGTGTATGAAGAATTAAAGAAAACAGGGTTTTTTCCATTTCCCATGATAAAAGGCTTGGATTGTTGCAGTTGTCCTTGCCTGAGAGTCTTAGAGGTTTTTTGTATCATACTTATCTGATCAGTTTTTTTCTACAAAAATACTTTGAACATGAATCAGCAGTCTTGTACATTTTCAGGGTCTGTTTACTCAGGATTTCATATTTTCACACCAGTCTCTCAGCATTTGATGCCTTCCAGCATGGGAAGTGGGAAAGGAGGGGAGGGAGGCTGCCCCATACTGATGTGTGCAGCAGGGCCTCTTAACTGTGTGTCTGTTTTCCATTTCCTTTTGAGCCATTGACGGTTCTGGAAAGGATTTCTTAAACTTAGTTGAGAGTGATTGTGGAGACTTGTTGACTGCTGCTGCAGTAGTCACAGAGCCGTGAAGAGCCAAGGACTTCTCAATATGCTGTGCTTAGGTGTGTGTTTTACCACGTGGGAGCAGTATGGACTGTTCTTGTACAGTTCTCTACCTACCTCAGTGCCAGTCTTTACATCTTTTTTTTCCCCTCACAAGACCCTCAGCATCCTTGGGTCAGCTGTAAAGTGGGTGTCAGGGAAGGCTCTGCAGCAGCAAAAATAACCACAGTAAGAGTGGCAGCAGCACTTCCCCCAGGGAGGTGGAGGAGAACCTGACTCGGGGCAGTGAGTGTGCAGAATGATGTGGGAGGAACATGGAGGTGGGCTGCCACGGCCAGGGGGTTCACACCTGTCCTTTGTACCACCTGTTTCAGGGTGCTCGGGATTGAGCAGTTCTTTTTTTCTAAATCCATGGAAACTATTTTGTCTTTCACTGGTGATCAGATGAGTGATGAGGGAAGTAAAATATTGAACTAAACTGATGATTTTCCTTCTTTTTCTCTGCCTACCAATTGCTCATCAGTTTTATTTGACAAGCCATGGAGGTCAACTGAAAAAGAACATGAATGAAAATGACAAAGGATGGGTCAACTGGAAGGTAGGGACAGTCCACTCCCATGTCATTTCAGGGACCTCTGAGCTCCTGGAAGGCCTCTTGGTTTGCCTAGTCTCAGGAATGGTGTGCTGCGAACCTGGTGTCATTACAGCCGTTTCTAAAGTCACACAGGGGAGGAGCTAAAGAAGAGAGTGGGATGTCTGCTCATCTGTGTTCACTCTCATAAGTACTGTCTGCTATTTTAGAGCTGCTTCTTATAAAAGAACTACCTAAAAGCCTCGCTCTAAAACTTGAAAGTATCTCTACATCTAAATCCGTGCTGTCCACTTTGTGACCAGTAGCCAAACGTGGCTGTAAACTCCTGAGATATGAAAATCTGGATCGTGAGTTGACATGTGCTATAAATGTGAGATACGTGCTCACATATATATTGGGGGATATAACATGGGCATATTATGTTAAAATACATTGAAGTTAATTTGTCTATTGTTATTTTTTTAGTGTGGCTTCTAGCAGATTCAAATTTTATCTGTGATGTATAATTTCCCTGTTTTAGGTATTTGTAAGATGTGGCACCAGTGTGGCCAGCTGGCTGGGTGCTCTTCTGTTCAGGAGTGCTGCATTATGTCCGTCCATGTTTGCGTACTGTTTGTTCTCAGCTCTTACAGTCTCCAGCTTTCCCCACTAGCACCTACTAATCTAAAGGCTGCATTCATTAAAAGCCTATGATACAGACATTTGCAAGAGGATCATCCTTAGCAAGTCTTTTATATTCATGTCTCTTTTTCTAAGAAATAATGAATACATTTGACAAGCATACTTTATAGTTTGTGTCCTGCCAAGCTTATTATTTACACCCTCACTTTTCTAGAGAAATATAGATTCAGTTACTTCTAGTAATTCAGATACCCCTTGAGGCCACTGTGAAGTATGGAGTCAGGTTTATAGCATACTGCTTTATAGAAAAGTAGCATACAATTTAAGTGTCTGCTTCACTTGATTTTCTTTAAAATTATTGTATGAAAGGCAGGGTCTGGTGATATCGTTCAGGCAATTAATGTGACTTGAAAAATCTGTACTACCAGCTCTTACTCAGTCTTGTATCTGAACTGACAATTTTGGTCAAGAAGCTTTTAAGTTTGTCTCCTGGTAGAAACAGACACATTCAATGAATTAAATTGACAAGCAGTTTCCTTTTGATGATTCGCACAGGAGATGTAATTGGAAAAGGCATTTCTTACCTGGAAAACAGTGTGATCAAGAAGGCAGGAAAAATGTGTTTTTCTTTTTTCTTTTTGGACACAGATAAAATGAGAAAGATAGGCTAGTGCCATATTCAGGAAAGAGTTCCTAAGTTAAGGAGTTTGAACCTTCAGGACAGGCCTGAATAATAACAAGTGAGATTTTAGAAACTTAGCTTGCGCTCAGTGTGTGGACTAGATTAGGGACTGAGGCCCCAACCAAGGAAACAAGGTCAGTAGAATATGTCAGTGACTGAGTTACGATGTAAGGAATTGGTTATGGATTTTAAATGCTATTCTAGCAATAGCCTCTCAGGCTTTATTTCAGATGCTTTTGGGCAGATTTCTTTTGGGAAAAGAAGATAATCATTTTTTAGCCAGCTTTCACAGTATCCTGCCAATTAATATACTCATTCTCCTTCTGTTTTTTAAAGGATATCCACATCAAATCAGAGCACTATAGTGAACTCATAAAGAAAGAAGAGCTGGTTTATCTGACGTCAGACTCTCCTAATGTACTGAAGGACTTAGATGAGTCAAAGGCCTATGTGATTGGAGGGTTAGTGGACCACAACCATCACAAGGTACTGTGCTTTGCTCCTACCTAAATCTACGTTTGAGATAGTGACAAAGTCCTAATGACGAATGGTCTTTCTTGAGCACCTATTACTGTTGTGGTGACCTAAGCTAAGCAAAGGACTTCACATTAGCTTACTTGACCTTTTCTGCAGCTCAGGGAGATCAGTGCAATTATTTTCTACATTTCACAGTTGCAGGATTTGAGGAACAAAGAAATTAGGCCTACATTCAGTCATGGTAGGTGGCAAAGCAGTCTCTTGGACATGACCATATTGCTGCAGTCTGCATGTTTAAGCTGTGCTGGGTTGCTAGGGGCTCTGATGCTAATGAATTGCTAAGCCACTGAAGTTTATACCAATTTGTAAAAAACAATTTTTATTTTTATTTTATGTATATAAGTGTCTTGCCTGCATATATGTCTGCACCATGTGCTTGCCTGATGCCCTTGAAGGTCAGAAAATGGTATCAGGACCTCCGGGACTGGAGTTACAGATAGTTGTGAGCCACCACATGGGTGCTGGAAAATGAACCCAGTCCTCTAGGAGAGCAGTGCTTTTAACTACTGGATCATCTCTCCAGCTCTATATTAGTTTGTAAATATATGATTTCTCAAATTATTTTTTCTTATTTTTTTTTCATCTCGTGTTTTTATAAAAAGTTACAGAACTCCTTTCTGAAGAGAATATTATTATGTACTTTGCAACATACTCAATTCATCCTATTTTTCTGAGGAAAAGGTATTTTTTCTAAAAATTGTCAGCACAGTATATGAAGGAATTGCATATTCTTCAGCAACAGTGTGTACATAGAATTTCTGCCATGTCACAGGCGATCTGTGGAGTGCCAAGGTGTAATACGACAGAGAAATTGGATTGGATTTTTTTTTTAATTGTAATCTTGAAGTTGCCAGGTGTGGCTAGCCATTGGATGAGCAACTCTAGAACATCGAAGGGACCTTGTCTTCAACTTTTCTGTTGTTCTCAGTGGAAAATTCTAGCTTATAATTTATGCATGAACAGGTTCTCTGCTCAGGCTGTTTGTTTCTCTAATAGTTTTATCCAAAAGCCCCTGGCTCCTTTCATCTCCCCCCACCCCCATATGCTAAGTACTTGTTGAGAGATTCAGCTTACACTTCCTGCATGGCCTTTTGGGATTTTTCATCTAGGATAGACATACACTTAAAGTATTTTAAGTTTGAGAAAATATAAAATTCCTATCTCACTGTTTTTTAGTTGATGGGAAGGAAAAATAAAATATAAGGCCAGCTGAAATACTTCTCACTCAGGATTTCATTTTATTGTATGTTTGTGCCTCGGTGTATGACTGAAACTGAGTGTCCTTTGTATATTTCACTCACAGAAAGAGTGATAGTGTTTCTCTCTGAATTCAGTTGGAGAGTTTAACACTGTGAGAAAGGGGGTTGGGGATGGGAAAGAGAATAATCAGAAAACAGATTCCATCCCTTGTTCTGCCATTGAGAGGCTTCTTAACTGCTGGGAATGCACTGTCTTCACCTCTGGGCAGTGAGGTGGTTATACAAGGGCTGGAAGTTCCCTCACTGCCAGGACTTAAATGTCCATGCTCTTGAGATAGTTTTCTCCACTGAAGTTCTTTCTGGAAAGGCCTACCCTCTCATAGGCTGTGTACATCTAAGTCCAGTGTCTTTATTCTCAGGGACTCACATTTAGACAAGCGTCCAGTTATGGAATTGAACATGCACAGCTCCCTCTTGCAGATTTTGTGAAGATGAACAGTCGAAAAGTCCTGGCGGTTAACCATGGTAAGCTACTGAAGGGTGTGCCTGAGTGGACACTCTGAAAGAGACAGTACCATTCAGATTTGGACGAATAGAAAAGAGAAGTCACTTGTTTATTAGAAATAAGAGAGAGTACTTCAGAAACTTTTAAAAATCTACAAAAACATAAAAGCAACTAGCTAGCCGGGCAGCGGTGGTGCATGCGCCTATAATCCCAGCACTGGGGAGGCAGAGCCAGGAGGATCTCTGTGAGTTCGAGGGCAGCCTGGTCTACAGAGTGAGATCCAGGACAAGCACCGAAACTACGTGGAGAAACCCTGTCTCGGAAAAGCAAAAAAAAAAAAAAAAAAAAAAAAAAAATTGAGACATAGTTTTACTATGTAGATCAGGCTGGCATTGAACTCGGAGAAATCCACCTGCCTCTGCTTCCATCCTGAATGTTGGGATAAAAGACATGTGCCACCAAGCCACCCAGCTTTATTTTTTTTTTTAAAGATTTACTTTTGTTCTTTGTGTATGAATGTTTTGCCTACATGTGTATATATGCTCCAAGTACATGAGTGTGGTGCCTGTGAAGGCCAGAAGAGGGAATTGGACCGCCTGGAACTGGAGTTATATAGGCAGTTGTAAGCAGTTCTGTGTGTATTAGGAACTGAACCCCAGTCCTCTGTAAGAGCAGCCAGTCAGTGCTCTTAACCACTGAACAATCTCTCTAGCCCTTTTATTTAATTTTTTAAAGGGACAATTTTAACCATACATAATAATTTATGTAATCCTAAATACTTTTTATATAACAGGCTTTATGGGATTAAAGAAGTGAATTTACTTTTCCAGTGAACAAATTTCTTCGAAAACCTTTGATACCTAGTGGAAATGACTTTTCTATAAAGTTATCTAGAAAGCCCTCCCACGGTGTGGTGAACCTAGGGACAGTATGGCTTCCTTCCTACTACTGTGAAAGCAAAGGCAGATGGCAGGCAGAAGCTTTCTTGAGTGGTTCTCTTAGGGGAGATGAAGAAATGCAGCTGAATGCTAGCCTCTGTGTCCTAGTTGTTAGTGCCTGAGAGATGAGGAGGTGGCACTGATGGGGATAGGGTGGGACCTCAGAAGGTCCTCTCCTGATTATGATTGACAGCCAATGCTAGTGAGTTTATGGGGCTTAAGGACTGGCTGAGGACAAGCTGGGAAGAACAAAGACTGGAGAGCCATGGGGCAGTTGGTCCCTGATAGCCAAAAGGCAGAGGAGGTAAGACCTTTACAGTAATTAGGGCCAATCAGCGCTCAGCACAAGGGTCCCATTGTAAGACAGCTGAGTAAGGAGTGTCTGTCGTTTGTCCTTGTTGCAGTATTTGAAATTATCCTGGAGTTCTTGGAAACGAGAGACTGGCAAGAGGCATTTTTTACCATCTTACCCCAACGGAAAGGAGCTGTTCCTGCACATAAAGCCTGTGAAAGCTCTCCTCAGGACCAGCAGCAGCCCCAGCCAGAAGGGTGGGACAGTTCCCACGAGGGAGAGCATTGCAGGAATCACCCCGACTCACCACAGAAAGAAGAGCAGGGCCCGCAGAGCAGCCCGGTGTCCTCAGTGAGCCCTGTCCCACAGTGACCAACCTTCCCTAGCTGCCCTTCCACTGAGGGAGAGTCTAGAGTGTGTGGCGCCTCACAGAATACTCAGACTACAAGAACACTGATTTTTCTCTCAAACCTGTTGTGGAATTTAGAGTTAAATGATAATGAAAAACCTTTTAAGCACCAAGAAAGGATTGTTTGGTTTTGTGTAAGAAGACTAAAAGGTATGATTTCAAAGTTGTTTGAAGCCTCAGATCAGAGTCATGGAGAATGTTCCCCATGCTATGCCTTCCTTCTCCTCATTCACTGGAGTGTATGCTTCAGAGTGTGCCTTCTGATTTAGCTTGGTTCTTCTCTGTTCCCCTCAGTGTCTTTTTGGTGCGATCCTATTTGTTGGAGCAGATGTTGTGTGTATCACTAGAATGTTGGACTTGGGAGGCTGCCCTTCTGTCTGTAGCTTTGTGTTCAGTTTAGTTCTTTTGGAGAACTACATTAATTCTAGAAGGAATACCAGTTGTTTGCAGGGCTCAGTAATTCATCCCTTTGAACAGTGGGGCCATTCCTGCGCCTCCCTTGTGATGCCTTCTCATACTTTTGAAATAATCACAAGAATAATCTTAAATTCCTTAAGGACAATAGTTAATTCAGTTACAAAATGAAATTTTTGCTGCCTAGATTATTTTACAATGTTATTTTTAAAGAATCAATTTGTCTTTACCCCAGTTTAAAGAAAAAAAAAACCTGTCCTTTCTTTCTATATATTTTTCATATATATAACATATTTCTATATATGTTAGCTTTTAATGTGAATATTGAGCATCTGCCTCCTACTGTAATATCCCAACTAATGTAAATGTGTGTTTCTGTAAATAACATAGGCATGTAGGAAAATGTGCATGTAATAATGTGTATATCTGTCCACATTTTAGTTCACAGTTACAGGACTGATATGTATTGTTTGTGGAATGGTTGTGTTGAATGCACTAATACCCAAGTCCACAATCCACCAGTAGTTGGAAGCTGACAAAGGAAGAGGGAGCAGAAGGGAGCTGTTCACCGTCTGCGTGGTAATCACAGAGAAGTACAGTCAGCCCCAACGCCCTTGGCACAAGTACAGTGGGTCTCCAGGAGCTGAACTGCGACAAAACCAGTTTCCGGTCTTCTCTGTTTATTATATAATGTGTCTGTGTGCTGACATCACACTCAGATGGAAGCTTATTTAGATTGAGTATTGATATTGACTGTCTTTTGTTACTTGATTCTTAGTTACCTGTTATAGCGAGTTCTTTCGAAGTTCTGAAAGAATAAAGTTCGTGTTGTTACTGTACTTGCCCAGGTTTTTGTGAGATGTCCCCCTTATGCCCGTGTTTGAGGACTCGGTCTCCAGCTGGTGGCACCGTGTTGGAGGTTGTGGGAACTTTGGGAGGTGGAGCCTGCTGGAAGAAGCACGTCACTGGGGTGGGCTGTGAGGCTCTATAGCCAGTTGTACTTTTTATTCTGTTTCCTTTGTGCAGATAAAATGGGGTCACTGCTTCACTGCATCCTAACTGCCAGGCCGGCTAGGCCTGCTGCCTGGCCTGCCCTTCCCTAGCCTGTTGTCCTGCAGCCACAGAAACATAACTGATACAGTGCCTTCCACTTTTATTAGTTTACATGGAACAGGGCCCTATTGAATTATGAAAGTGAAGGAAATTATTTCAGTTACCACATAGTTTCATTCTCATTAATTGCAAAAGCTCTGTGTTGGTTTCCTGGGTGTGCTGTAAGAAATCACCACAGACGGAGTGGGCTAAAATAACCACAACTTCTTTTCTACAGCTTCCGAGGCTGCAGGTTCAGAGTCAAGCGTGAGAGGGCCACACTCCTCCTAGTACTGTAGAGCACCTGCACACAAGCGGCACACACACACACATTTAAAAGAGCTTGTCATCCATCTCTCGGCTGTCGGCCAGAAGACAATAATCACTACTCATCTTCAAAGAATTTCAGAATTACTTAAAGATTGGCTATAAAAATAATACTTAAAGACCTTTTTAAAAAATCTTAATGTGTCCTTTTCTTTCAACTTTTTTGTACAGCAACAGGTAAGCAATAAAAGGAGAAAAGAATAGGTAGAGATGTCTTGAGTTAATGGGCACAGAGGCCTAAAGTAGTCAGTGAGTGAGCCCATGGAGACATTTGTCCCTTTCCCCAGCTCACTGGGAGGCATGTGCAGTAACGTAATATATTCCCAAGAGTCAGGATGCTGGGAAGATTAGGGAACCAGACGAGGTTTAAGCCTGGGCACTTAGGTTTTCATTGTGAAACTGCCCATGCTACCAAACTCAGTGTCCTTATTTAAAATGTGACTGTTAGCACATTTATCCCATAGGGATGAACCAACGATTGCCTGTGAAGTAAGCAATGATGTGGTGATGCCTTCTCACCCTGGCTTCCCCCTGTGTCTGCATCTCCCGCATTCCTCCTCTTCTCCCCTGACCTCACCTGCTCTAAAATAGCGATCACCAGCTGCAGGGTCGTTCCTTTGGAGTGCAAGCCTTGACACGATTTTGAAAATGGACTTGTGTAGATGTAACCAACCGTCTTATTAAATAAGAAACACAGAGCCAATTCAGAGAAGAAAGCCAAGAGGTCAGAACTAAGAGCCTTACCCTTCCTGTTTCAGTCAAGAGAGCTCTCCAAAAGGGACCTACTTCCTGTGTGTGTGTCTTTATATAGTCTAGCTGTTCTGCCTTCTCATTGGTTGTAAACCCAAATACATGACTGCCTCGTCACTGCCTGTCTGTAGAGACTTCCAGGTCTTCTATGGTTGGTATTGAGATTAAAGGCGTGTGTCTCCAATGCTGGCTGTATCCTTGAACACTCAGAGATCTACCTAGCTCTGTCTACCAAGTGCTGGGATTAAATGCGTGCGCCACCACCGCCTCGCTCTTGCTATGGCTCTAATAGCTCTGACCCTCGGGCAACTTTATTTATTAACATACAATTAAAATCACATTTCAGTACAAATAAAATACCACCATATTTCCCTTTTCTATTTTAATAAAAAGAAAAAGGTTATAACTAAAAAGAAAAACTATATACAAAAGTACAATAACTATATACAATATATACAAGTAATAAATGCCTAAACAATATCTAGTCCATTTGTATTTGACAAATTCAGAGAAAATAATTTCATTATCTATCCTATTTTGGTAAGTCCAAAATGTATCTAATTCACTTTCTATCCTAATTAATCTTCAACTATAACTAACTAACCTTCAACTATAACTAACTAATCTTCAACTATAACTAATCTTCTACTCCCTCAGAGACCCAAGAAGGAAATAATATTAGCTAACAAAAATAAAAACAGGAAGTGCATGCAAGCAACTTCCAAAAAATTTGTGAGTTGACAGAAACAGCAAGCTGCCTGGACAGTCACCTGAGGTTTCTCTGCAGTGCTGGGGCATCATCTTCAGCCTATAGGCTTAGCATATCTGACAGACTCATTTGTGAAGTAGGATGTACACAAGGTCAACAGTTCAACCTCACATTGGGTGAGGGCAGTCCATGTACCAGAAACACCTGAATTCCACTAGTGTCATGTCATGATTCAGGATTTTAAATTCTGGAAATTGTTGATGGTTTTTTAATTCAGCTGTCCATTCTTCTTGGCTGTGTATATATGGCTTCATCTCAGCATCCCGTTCTTCTCCACATCCCTCTATCAAATGCCAGTCTACTATTGAGAGGCGTGAGCTTAGTTACTCTTCAAGAATAACTGTTTCAGCTGCTGTTCCATTGCACATCAGAAGCCATCGGCCCACTGCCTGTTCAGCTGCCTTCGAAGAAAAGGGCACTGTACCTTTTCCAAATTGCGAAGGCCATTTCAGGGATGGTGTCATATTGTCCTGGCCTCAGAAGATGCCTTTTGATAAAGCCATAACCACACTTGTTTTGACAAGAATCAGTAGTCCTTTGTTTCATGTCCTGTCTGTCCATTTTGTCTTGTTGATTCGAGGATACTTTGTTGTCCAGTGGTTAACTTTTGCCCCAATGAAAGTTAACTCCATATGCAGTTTCTTCAATGCCCATATTTTCTCTGAAGTAGATTTGTACTGCCAGGAGCCGACATGTCTCAAAAAAGAAAAATTTTCTAAGTTATTAAAACATTTTAAATGCCATATTCTGTAGATCTCTGAAGAGTTTGAAGATGACCTGTCTAAAATATATCTGCTCAATTTTTAAAACATGTCTAATATGACTACAAGTTCTATTGTAATGTCTAACTACTAACTTTCATTTCTTTATATCCTAATAGTTGGTAATAACAACATTCAAGGATCAGAAAATTGCATTGTTAAATGAACGGTATAAGTACAATTAGAAATATACATATAGCATTTTCTAACAATATCAATTTCAATATATATAATTTGTTTACAATATAAAACAATCCAATCCAATGTAAAGTATTTAAAACTAGTAATTGTCTTTTTCTTTTCTTTTCTTTTCTTTTCTTTTCTTTCTTTCTCTCTTTTTTTTTAAACAAGAACCTTAAATCTAATCTCCTTTGCTTAGCCTTTTTCCTAACCCTTGACAACAACTTGTAACCACCCCCCCTAAACAATGAAAATTATCCCAGACCCAAAACCCATTAAAAAGACCAAAAAACCACCCACCCAACACCACCTCTTTGGGAATGTGGGCGTCATATTCTTTATAGACTTGTTGCCAGAATAAATAAATATTTACAGGGAAAAAATATGTATCATTTAGGGAAGCCTTTATTAAAACAGTAAAAACAATGCTAACATAAAACACAATCATGAAAGATCAAATCTTTATGTCCTATCTGCAAATATAAATGCTCATGCCTCAAAACGCCTCAGATTGGATAAAAATGTGACTATATCCACTTTTAAAATAGTAATAATAAAATTTAAAAACAAGGAAAAGGTCATACCAAGCCAAAAAAAAAAAAAAAAGACAAGTTAAAGTCTTCACAGTTGATAAATGCTAGCACTTTCCAAGCGGCATGGGAAAGAGAGGATGTTCTAATGACGTGGCAGTCTTAGTCTTCCAGCACAACCAGCGCTGCTCTACATCACAGCACACACTGAGAGACAGCTTTGGGGATCGGATGAAATAGAAACACATGTATAAGGAAATTTTAAATCATGTTCCCTGTACCATGACAATGCAGATGCATGAAAGGTAAATATGTGGGAAATCGGGACACTATGTATAATTAATAACAGGCGTATCTAGATCAAGATCCATATGTTGAAAATAAAAAAAAATTGTTTTCCATCTGTGGAACATTTCTAAAAGAGATAGTGGACTATCAAGGAAAATAAAAACTTAAACCCTACAGGCAGGTTCTCTGTAACAAAGCAAAGTAGAAAACAAAACATGGAGTCTGGAGAAACAGATCAGTGGGTAAAAGTGCTAGTCATGCAAGCATGAGTATCTGAGTTCAAGTCCCCAGAACCCACATAAAAAGCAAGACACATTAGTATGAACACCTATAATCCTAGTGTTCCTACTGGGAGATGGGAAATGGATACAGAGTCCCCAGGAACTTGTAGAGCAGCTAGCCTGTCATACAAAGGGGAAAATCAACAAAGAGACCTGTCTCATAAAAGTAGAATAGGAGTAATACTCAGAGTTATCCTTTGACCTTTACATGTGCAGAATGTGCCTGCAGAATGTGCATACATGAATGCACACACATACACGTACACACAAGTACGTGCACATGTGTGCATGCACATACAGACACATACATACAGAAAACTTGTTGAGATAAGAGAAAAGTCTCACTACCTGTAAAAAAAAATAAAATAAAGCTAAGCAACTGGAAAGGATATGCAATCTGAAAGTAAGCACTATCCCACGGAGCCATCTTCCCAGACCCCAGTGACCTGACCTTTATTAGTCTGGAGAACAGGCCTAGTGTGATCATGAGAGTCTTTAAACTAAAAGAAACAGGCCAAAGAGTGTCGTACTGATTTGTTATAAGAAGTGAACAATTTGGTTAGCTATTGTTCCCTTTCAATATGGAAGAGAGCCACAAATGAAGGAGAATGGATCACCTGTAGAAGACAAAAAACAGACTTCCCAGAGCCTCCCAAAGGAAAATGACTTCATTTCCATTTTAGCCCATTCCACATCTCTGCCTCCAGAACTGTAATAGAATAAAATTGTGTGACATTAAGTTGCTAAGTTTATAATACTTTGTTACAGCAACAGTAGAAAATTTAGTACTTTTCTCTGGTGTAATTTTCTTCTTTCTGCTGGGTACAGTTGGCAGTGATATCCTAGATGATCATTGAGCCACAAGGTGGAAGGATCCTGGGCCTCTCAATCAACAAGCACTGCAAAGGTGTCCACTGATTCTGAATGTAAGCCCTGAAGCACATGTTACAAACTTATAATAATAGAATAATAGCTGTAGCCCAAGAATAGTTAAATTAAAAACACCAAAAAATTCTATATTATTAGCATTCACCATTAGCACTGAGTGGAAATAAACTCCTTTCTGGCTCATGAATTAAGGATACTTTTTATTTTATTTTTTTTCTTTTTAGAGAGATGAGAATTATTCCACATAATAGGTTGCCAAAACCAGCTCAAATGTTAAAATTCTCAAGCAATTTTCCCCCACTCTGGATTTAGATTCAGGGCTCAATTCTGATTATGGATGGCTTTCTGGTATCTGCTCTATATTAGGTACTAATACTATTAGTACAGGAAAGAAAGTTGCATTTAAATAAGCATATTTCTTTTATGTGTATTAAAACTAACTACAAATAGAAATAATGTCTTCATTAATATTTATTTCTAGCATTGTGTACATGTGTTTTTGAGACTTACATGTGCCACCATGTAGAGGACCGTTTGGTTATTTTTAAAAGGATTTTTGATGTTCTGTCAGTGTTCAGCTCATCTTTGTGAAAGAACTGGCCAGTGTCCATTTCTACCTTTGGTGTGTTAAAGGATAGAGTGCCCTTTGAGGGCTGTACACTTGCACACTCCTTGCTGACATTGGTTTTGTTGATTTGCTGTCCTGAGTGTTAGACCTGAGAGGAGTCTTTGGTTTGCTGAAATATTCTGTAACAGGTGTTTTCATCTTGTTTCCTCTTATAAACAATGGGGTCTCAGTTCCTGAAATAGAAAAAAAAACATTAAATAAGACTATAATCAAGAGGCTGAATTTAGCTTCTGCTGTGTTTTATGAGTGAGCAGTGTGGGGTTAAAAACAAAACAAATATGAAGGTTAGATGAATAAAAAACACTCAAATGTCATAACAGAATCGATTCATTTTTACCATGTTCACCTTCAATGAGATATTTGTGCTCACCTACATGATCTGTTTTCTCACTCTTAGAGGTGATGGTGGGGATGGTTTAGAGTTGGTGAAGTGTGAGGGGGTTGGGGAAAGGACTGGACCAGTGAGATAAAGATCTGTTATCCTGACAGGTAAAATGAGAGAACAGACAAGCATCTTAGACCAATTTAACTGCACTCCACAGACCCTTGCAGAGCCCACACAGTCATTCCACGCCAGGAGCAGGTTTGGAGATGCCAGATGTCAACTGTGGAGAAAAGCGGTGCAATCTGGAGAGTCCTATTTAAAAGTCTATGCATCTGGGCAGGGTAAATATATGTGTGGGCCATCAGTGAGACTCATGGGTAACTAGAACTATCATGTAATAATTATCATTCTAGAGTGAGGAATCTGGTGGGAAGGGCCATCTTAAAGCAAGGGATGGGATATGCTTTCCGATCTCAGCTACACTTACTGCTTGTTAATGTATAGAGCCACTTTGGATTTTGGTGAACTCCATGGGAAAGTGACAAGGCCACTAAAGAATTCTACTTGGTGAACCTCTCATTTCTGGTTAAGGGGAACTTGGAGAAGCAAGACAGATTTTTGTATTGGAGGCCTGTAGATTTACGTGACAATTGCTCTGTTGTCATTAATGCAGTTCTTGTTTTACTGCTGGGAGCTGCAAATCTCCAGAGAGGCTGCTCTTGTACTCTTCGAGACCAAAGTAGGCTTTCTATGACAATTGAGTCTCTCTGGTCTAAACTGCAGGCTGGTACTGGGCTTCTGATTGGGGCACACTGGTTCTCAGCCGCCTCATAGGGTACCTGTTTGTGATTGCTGCAGTCATATTCTTTTCTGGTAGATTTTCTTTACGGTGAAATCATTTAGGTCCATGACAGTTAAACCGAGCAGAATTAACCAGGGAAGCCGCTGTCTCTGGACGGGTCGGCAATCCTTTTCAGTGAATGAGTGGGACTACTTGCAGCCACTACTGTCTGACTGTGTTGCTTTTCAGAGTGTTTGGTCCCAAAGAAAACTTTTTTGTCATATTTATCTTACACAAAATTTAGCAGATGTGTGCTGTGGGATGGTCTGTATGTCAAATTACTCTGATTGGTCAATAAATAAAACACTGATTGGCCAGTGGCTAGGCAGGAAGTATAGGCGGGACTAACAGAGAGGAAGAAAAGAAAGAACAGGAAGGTGGAAGGAGTCACTGCCAGCCGCCACCAGGACAAGCAACATGTGAAGATGCCGGTAAGCCACGAGCCACGTGGCAAGGTATAGATTAATAGAAATGGATTAATTTAAGCTATAAGAACAGTTAGCAAGAAGCCTGCCATGGCCATACAGTTTGTAAGCAATATAAGTCTCTGTGTTTACTTGGTTGGGTCTGAGCGGCTGTGGGACTGGCGGGTGACAAAGATTTGTCCTGACTGTGGGCCAGGCAGGAAAACTCTAGCTACAGATGTGCTTTAGAAGAGTGGGTGAGGCTGAAAGCTACTCTCAGACCTCACTGATTGTCCTTGGAAAGCCAAGATCCTTAGCACCCATGTCCCTAAGTAGTCAGTACCTATTGACTTCCTCATACCGTCTGCAATCACACAAACTGTACTTAACCTTGTGATACAGCCTTATTGCCTTCGGATCCTTGACTTGACATTCTAAATCAATTGGAGAAAGAAAAAGAGTTTGAGAAATAGCAATAGACTATAGCATCAGCAAGCTAATGGCATCTATCTTAAACACGCTATCCCAACCTTGGTTTAAATTACTTACCAATGACTACTTACTGTGAGCAAATATCTAGCAGGCCTATCATAAGCCACTCACTAAAGAGGAGGTCAGCTCTTACCAGGTCCTACTTTCTGATTTCACAGAAACTTAACAGTGCAGGCAGTTAGAATGTGTACTTTTTAAAGTGACATTATCTTTATCATATTATTTCTGTGACTTTACATTTAACCCAACTTTTAGTTTACTTATTTTTATTTATTTATTTATTATGTGCACAGTGTTCTGCCTGCATGAGAGAAGAGGATGCCAGATCTCATTATAGGTGATTGATAGCCACAATGCAGTTGCAAGGAATTGAACCCAGGAGCTCTGGAAGAACAGCCAGTGCTCTTAACCTCTGAGCCATCTCTCCAGCCAGCCTAATACCCATTCTTTCAACATGCTATACATAAATATACATGTGTTTCTTTTATTTGTTTGTTTTGCTTTTGAGACAGGGTCTTTCTATTTTAATTTATTATACGGACTAGCTTTAAATTTTAATTTATTTTAAATTTGCAAAAGCCTTGCTCCGGTCTCCTCAGTGCTGAGATTATAGATGTTTACTACCACACCCAGCTCTGTTTCTTCTTTTGTTAAAATCACATGGTTTAACAAATACTGCTTCTAAAACAGCGTCCAAATGGCTTAGTGATTATTTTTCTCTCTGAAACTTCCTAGGAATATATCAGTTGAAGTGATTTATTTTTATCTTCATTGATTTACATTAAAAATCCATACCTATATAATACTAGCATTTACAAACTATGCATAACACTAATAATAATAGTTCCAGTCTCCTTTATGGTTTACAAGCTTAAACTTTTTTAAAGCCCTTGGGGCTAGAAAGATGGCTCAATGTTTAAGAAAGCTTACAGTTCTTGTAGAGGACCCAAGTTTGGTTCTTAACACCAAGAGGCTCACAACTTCCTGTGACTATAGGGGCATCTGATGCCCTCTTCTGGCCCCTGTGAGTATTGCACTCATGTATACACACACACACACACACACACACACACACACACACACACACACACACACTAAAAATAACCTTTAAAACACCTTTTTAAAGCCTTATATTTTCTTAGATCTCTAGATGTCTAGTCTTACTTTGCCATTAGTGGAAAGGGAATTTTCTTCAAAGAGAAAGGTTATTTATTAGCTAAAGAATACAGCCTCTGCCGAAATGTTCTGAACAGTAGAACTGAGAACAACTTCGTTATTGTGTGTGAAAATGAAAGAAAACAATGATGTATGTGCAGTCACTTCCTGGGTAGAGTTAAGACTCAAAACCTCCGCATGACTAGCAGTTGAAAGAGAAAACGAAGTATGAAGTCGTTATATGCAGAGGTACCTGGGTGGCCTGTTTAATCACCTGGGGGGCTGATGTCCTTCTCTAGCTCTGGTCAGCACTTTCGGTTTGGCAGGTGAGCATTGCATTGATTTGGTTGTGGTGGGTGTTGCAGCTATGGATGGCTTCTTGGGCTCTGCTGCTGGTTCTGCTGGGGTATTTCTTCCATGGCGAGTCAACAGGTTAATGTCAGAGAGTTCAGAATGAACCAAAGCGGATACCCACTCCTTTTCTGGTTTGGGGGGAAAGGTTGGAGAGCATGGAAGTTACTAATGTCGTGTTGACGAGAAGTGAAAGTTTTGTCTCTTTTTAAGTCAGTAATGGGTTTCATTGTGACATTGCCATATATTTACGTCACTTCAACGTGTTCTTTTCCCTCCCACCTCCCCTGCCTACCTCTTGCTAGTCCATTGTGCACTATTCATGGAGGCACTTGCTTCCACACCCCCACACACACACACAAGTAATAATATATTCTTTTGTAAATGCATGCAATTTATTAAATGTCACAATTCCCCACCCATAGAAAATTGCCCCCAAGCACTTTGCAATTAAAAAGTAGTCTTGAATTCTATGGCAAGGTACTATTTTTCCAAAATGCTCCCCATTTTCAGAGAGTACTCCCCAGACCAATATCACCCACCAGCAACACCTGGGAAGGTGTTAGAAAAGCATGTTCTTGGGGCCCATGGAGGAGGTCTTGGCTCAGTCTGATGATCAGCTAGTTTAAGGATAGCTGATATGTGCTGTATGGATTGCCCTGCAATGTACTGGTAATTTTCATGACACATACAAGGGACAGCCCAAGAGATAACAGGCATTAGCTAAGATTAAATCATCATAGCTATGAGGACTCTGAAACATGGAAGGTCATGCTACTACCCTCCACATCAAAGAAAAGAAACAAGCCTATGTTCAGATTTCACAATAGGCCAGAGGATGTGTTCCTGGAGGGCCCTGGGGTATGAAGCACAGAGGAGATGCAGAAACCAGCCTTAGCTGGGAAGACATGTTTCCTATTACTGTAATGAGAGACACTACATCTTTTGATTATCTGAATGGCCAGCATGCATGCAGGTAGGTGTACAGGCTTACAGGGACTCTGGGCAAATAATTCGGCAATATGTATTTATAATCCCCAGGTAGGTGGCTTCTGTGTGTATCATCTCTGACAATAACCCGAGGTTGGTGCCTGCAGACGCTCATTTTAACCTCACCTTTGGTGCTTGCATGAAGCAGCCACTGCAGAACTTCGGCCAGGGAATCAGTATGTAAAATGTCACTGAGCTTTGCCAGGATCTGAGAGGGAACACACAGTGAGAGAGTCAATGGCATCAGGCTCACAAGGTTTCCTTCTCTTCCTTTAGAATCTCATCTCCCCAAACGTCACTCCGGGTACATGCTACTTGGGTCAGTTGGGATCTAGTTTGCGAGCTACATTTCCAACAGTGCAAAGAGCAGTCAGCGAAGGCATGGCCAGTTCAAGTGATGTCTGTTGTGTGTCGTGCTGTGTCTATTTGATTCTAACATCTGTTAGGATCAACTTACTCCAGGAAACGGACCCCTTGTGCGGGCTTCCGGGGGCCGGAAGGAGAATCTCCTTGTCAGGGAAGTTGGCTGGCTGGCTGCTGCTCTCCTTGTTTGGCTAAGAAGGATGTCACTTGAGCTGGATGGTGCCTCAATTCTTTGAATACAGTATTGGGCCCACTGAGACAGTGAGACAGGAGCCTAAATCCCAACAGTCAGTGAAAATCCATACTTGAGATTGTGGGAGGGGGTTTTGTTTGCTTTTTTCTTTCCCTCAAACTACAGGTCTTTCCTCCTGAAACTCTCCTTCCCTTTTGAAGAACAAAACAGTAAGATGAGAGCTTTTGTCCTTTAAGCATTCTGTTGTGGTCGTGCAAGTTTCTACTAAGAAGTCAGCAATCATAGTAGCAATGTGTGTGGTGTGGTGTGGAAGATTATTTTAAGATGTGTTGCCTTTGTTTATGCTCTGGAACATTTGTTTAATATGCAACGATGTGTGGCATTCTTTTATGTTGCATTTGTTTAAACTCTGTGAAGTTGTGTTATTTTACCTGTCTAAAACATTTGATGGTCTAATAAAGAGCTGAACAGACAATAGTGAAGCAGGAAAAAGGATGGGCTGGGCTGGCAGGTGAAGAGAATAAATAGGAGAAATCTGGGAAAGAAGAAAGAGCAAGAGAACAAGGAGAGGAGGATGCTAGGGGCCAGCCACCCAGCCACCCAGCCACCCAGCCAGCCACGGAGTAAGAGTGAAAGTAAGATACACAGAAGTAGGAAAAGGGACCCACCACCCAGCTCCCAAATAAATCACACATGGAGTCTTATTATTACTTATAAATGCGCATCCTTAGCTTGGCTTAGTATCTAGACAGCTTTCCTTAACTTAAATTATCCCATCTATCTTTTGCCTCTGGGCTTTTCCCGTTTTCTTACTTCTGTGGCTTGCTGTGTAGCTGAGTGGCTGGCCTTTGCAGAAGTCCTCCTCCTTTTCTGGCTCATTGCTCCTTTTTTTTTTTCCTCCCGGATTTCTCCTTTTATTTATCCTCTCTGCCTGCCAGCCCTGCCTATTTCTCTCTCCTGCCTTGCTGTTGGCCAGTTCTTTATTAGCTCATCAGGTGTTTTAGACAAGCACAGTAACACAGCTTCACAGAGTTAAACAAATGTGACATAAACAAAAGTAACACACCTTGAAATGCTATTCTACCTCACCTCTGTGTGTGACTTATTTGGGAGGCGGGTGGTAGGCCTCCCAAAAGAGCACAAACAACCAACAGTGGTGCGTCTTCTTTCTCTGGTTGTCAGCAGCTGGATTTTGATGCTTAGAAGCAATTTACCCCCAGTTTATCTTTCTTAGGTTTAAGTTTCTGTCCACTTTAGGAGAATGTTAGCTACTAACTCATCCCATAATTTGTATGTTCTAATCTTTACTGCTTCTGAGATCCCAGTTACACAAATAATGGAATAGTCACTATATTCTCACAGGTCAATCGGCTTGTTTATATTTTTAGATCTAGGTAGATTTATTGCTCTGGATTTAAATTGGTTAATATTTATGTATATGGTGTGTGTGTGTGTGTGTGTGTGTGTGCAAGCATGTGTGCCCATATGTGGACATGCATGTGGAAGCCAGATGTTGACACTGGGTGTCCCCTCAGTCACTGTCCCCAGCTGTAGGATTAAAGTAACTCCATTCTTCGCGTGTGAAATGTCTGGGTCTCCGTTGAACTCTTGGTGTATTAAGCAGCTCTCTGCACTCTGGTGTGTGTGTGACTGACAGCCAGCAGCTCCCAAGGATAGTTCTTTCATCCAGTCTTTTCTCCTCGACCTCTGCAGTTTGCTCTCTGTGTGTGAAGGTTGACACTGGACCAAAGACTCAGTGGGCCCTGTGCGTATTTCTGGAGCTTGTTCTCTACATAGCGTTTTCTTCTTCAGCATCTTACTTACAAACTCCAGCCAGCTCAGCATCCTCAAGCTCTAATCGTTTTCCCTGTAGTGAAGCCCACTGCCCTGCGGGTACCACTTCTCTGTGCCATGATTACGAATGTGCCCTAGCAGAAGTCTGAGTTAAATGCAGTAATCCTACAGTTTCACGGTCATGGAGCTGTGTTGTCTGTTGTCAAATACCTAAAAACAACTTATTCATATATTCTTCCCCTCTCTGTGATGATTTACAATGGAGGCTAAGTCCTGAGTGAATCTATCATTTTATCATCTATTATCTGTCAGTGTCACACACCTGTGACATTGCTGCTCGCTCTCGTGTGTGTGTGTGTGTGTGTGTGTGTGTGTGTGTGTGTGTGTGTGTGTGTGTTCATGCTGTTTGCAAGCTATGGGTTTAATAAACCTGCCTCTTACCTTTATCTCCTGCTCCAGATAGTTTGGTATGCACACAGTGTTTTCATTCCCATCCGTCTTGGTGCTCATCACCTCCGAGTACCTGGAACCAGCCGCAGAGCCCACCCTTGGAGGCAGTAGTGGCTTTTTGGCTTTAAATTCACCCTAAATGAAAGATACGGCAAGATTGGCATGCGTTGTTGCACTTGTAATTTCTATATAAAGTAAATGTAAAACTAATGAGAAGCATTAACTTTGCTCACATTTTAAAATTATGTTTATTTAACTCTGTGTGTGTGTGTGTGTGTGTGTATGAGAGAGAGAGAGAGAGAGAGAGAGAGAGAGAGAGAGAGAGAGAGAGAGAGAGAGTTTGCATGCACATGAGCATAACATGGTACATATGTTGTCGCAGGACAACTTTCAGGATTCAGTTCTTGTCTTGTGTCATGTGAGTCCTGGGTGTCTGCCACAGGTCATCAGGCTTGGCGGCGGCAAGGGCCTTTACACACAGACCTATCAAAGGCCAGAGAAACATTTTTCTTTAATGGGAGAACCATACAAGCAAGCATGATGCTAATAAATTTAAGTGTCCTCTAAACTCTACCAAACCTTTGTGTCTGGAGACAAAGCAGATGGTGATGTATTATGGACTTTGGTTGAAATAATTTAAAGCCCTTGATGAAACTCAAGATAGTAATCTAAATGCTGAACGTGAAACGTTTTGTATATTGTTGTCCCAGGCGGCAATCAGCCCCCACCACGGATGACCTGTGTTGCCTTGGGAAGATTCCTTTACCACCAGGAAGGCAGCAGAGAAGAGTCATGTTTTGTCTGCAAAGAGACTTCATTGTGTGAGCTCTGCTTCCTTGCTCTGCTAAAAGCTGGAAATTTAGAATTAGGAACTAATTTTCTGGGTTTTAGTAGCTGAATGGGAAATAAAAAGGCCTGTTGTAGTGTGGGCTCGAAATACAGTCTGCAGGTTAAGCAATCACAACAACAACAAAAGAGTATGGGGACTTTGAGTGGAAAGAGCTACAAAGGCCTTGGATCGCAGAGCCTGTTCCAGGGAAGGCCTTCCAACCACCTTAGCGGTGGCCGGTGTTACTGACACACCAAGATAAAGAGGAACTGAGTCAACCTGGACTTAAGATTACCAATATGAGAGAAGAGCCTTTAACTTCTGGCAGCTGGGAGAGCAAAGCTGTATCATATTCAGATTGATTCTTTTTGAAAACTTCTTATGCTTACACTAACGATTCTGCTTCAATGCCTCTCATTAAATATAACTGAAATATCTGATTGGAGTTTTAAAAAATAAAAGAATCAGAATGTATAGAACAACATGGAATTAACAGTAATCAAAAAGGGAAGTAAGAAACAGAAGTTCATTAAATGTAGTAGACATTTTTGCCTTGAGATCGTTGTATGATAATGAAAACCAAGAGCTTTTTGACTACCTGAAACTGTCTGAAAGACAGATCTCGCAATGACAACCACCTAAGAACTATGTCTCCAAGATGAAGGTGACCTAATCATGCAACAGTCCTTGAATAAGATCAGTGAGATAGGAAAATCCAAAACATTGATAATAACTGATGAAGTTAAACATTTATTTTTGCAGAAGATGAACAGAATTTGTAAGCCATTGTGCAGGCAAGTTTTATGTCAACTTGGCAAAAGCTATAGTTTTCTGAAAGGAAGGACTCTCCACTGAGAAAATGACTCCGTAAGATCCAGCCTTAAGGCATATTCTTAATAAGTGATACATGGGGGAGGGCTCAGCTCGTTGTGGGTGGGGCCACCCCTGGGCTGGTAATCCTGAGTTCTATAAGAAATCAGGCTGAGCAAGCCATGAGGAGCAAGCTAGTAAGCAGCACTCCTCCATGGCTTCTGCATCTGCTCCTGCCTCCAGGTTCCTGCCCTGATTGAGATCCTGCTTTTAATGATGAACTAACTGTTACATGTAACTATAAGTGAGATTAACCCTTTCCTTCCCACGTTGCTTTTGGTCACAGTGATGATAATCCTAACTACGATACATATCAAGGGTGAAAGGCATGAAGTGCCATCATTAGGGACCAGAAGACAAACTATGCAGGTATAAAATCATGGAAAAAATGTTTTTTGAACAAATGTGTCAGTAAATCATAAAAGTTAAATGAAATAGATAAATTCCTTGAAAAGAATACAAGCTCCCTAAGCTCACTAAAGAAGAAACAAACAACATATAAAGCAAATCTCTATCTGTGAAAAAGAAATTGAATTCTTAGTTTAAAACTTTTAACTGGAGGGAAACTTCAAGCCTGGATGACTTTAAAGATTCTAGTCATCAACTCTGTATAGAATCTTCCAGAATTTAGAGATCCCAACTTATTATGTTGTGCCCACTAGTCCTGAAAGCAAACCAGGAAAAGATATAAGAAAAAGTTTTATAATATAAATATATAATACAAATATATTATAATAACAATACATTTGCATATATTATAATTACATTGCTTGGCAGAATTCATCCTCCATGTCTGATAAAGCACTGGAAACAGAAGGAAGCCGCCTCAGTCATGTCTGGGCATCTGAACTGAGTGAACCAATACCATGCTTCAGGATGAAAGTCTGAATGATCAAGTACAGGGCGAGGCTGTCGGCTCCCGCTGTTTCTAGTTCACACTGCACAGAGGTGTGGCCTTCACAGTCAAGCACAACACACATGGCAGCACGCAAATCTGAAAACATAATAGTGTGGGTCCCCTGGCAATGGAACCAGGATTTACCCCGGGTACACAAACTGGTTTTTAGACCCCATTCCCTATGGTAGGAAGCCTTACTCAGCCTTGATGCAGGAGGGAGGGGCTAGGTCCACCCCCAACATGGTACAACAGCCTGTGTTGACTACCCAAGGGAGGCCTTTCTGCCTATGAGGAGGGGATGGGGGTGGGATGGGAGTAGGTGCGGGGAGCAGGAGAAGAGAAGGGAGGGGGAGAAAATCTTTTTTTAAATAAAAATTATATATATTAAAAAATAGAAAAATCAGAAATTTAAGCCTTACCCAAAGTAACATTTTTTTTTTTTGAGGAGACCTTGAAACAAAAAGGCAAGGTTCAGATTTAAAGAAAACATTTGCAAAACACATGTGGCAGAGGATTTACATAGACTGTGTACAAAGCCTTCATATCACAATTTCAATATGGTCAACAACTCAACTTCAAAGAGATCTGAACATCCACCGCCCATGAAAGGTCACATAAATGACAGGGAAGAAGAGGGAAGCGGTCAACATCAGTCGTGAGAAAAAGTCAGAACTCAACCCACACAAGGAACAGACTACTCTACCCCTAGGTTAACCTTGTTTGCTTGCTTGTTTTAAGACAGGAGTCATACTTCAGCCTCCTTCCTGCTAGGATGACGAACTGCAAGTACACTTCACTTCTATGAGCTAAAAACTAGAGCCAATTGTTTACATTTCAGCAGAAAGTGGAGAAAAGGAAACTGTGAGCTATGAAGGAAATGGGAAGCAGAAAACAACTGGCCATTCCTTTAAACCACTTTCGACACAAACCACCTAAGAGTCAGTTATTGTATTTGCAGGTATTGACCAGAGGGAAGTAAGTATGGATGTACACGAAGACCTATGTGAGAGTGTTCATCTTAGCTCTGTGAAAAGGTGAACATGACCCTGGTGCCCTTCAACATGAGCCTGGGTTCACAACTGTGAGACAAGCAAGCCCTGAGTCCCTTGGCATTAAAAAGAATCGACAAGCCACATGGGTGGATCTTAGAATAATCTCGCCAAGTGAAACCAGACTTTGAAAGAGAACTCGCATTTACATAAAAGTTAAAAGTCTGTGCCACTTTAGTGACACAAAGCAGATCATCATTTGTCTTTGGGAAACCCATGGAGCTAGCAGACATGTACATGCTCCTGACTTCGGTAGTGCTTCACCAGGAGGTGTAGATGTACTTGTCAAGATCCAGCTAATTGTTCATTTGGGATAAATAAACATCTTCTATCATAAAGGTATATTTTAATAAAGCAGTGAAGATATTGAGAGAGAGACTTCTCAGAAGGACTGTAAAGTAGGGCAAGTGTCAGACATCGGACAGCTAGCTGTAGGCGCTGTTGGTTTACCTTCTTTATCACTAAGGGATTGTCGCAGGAAGTTTTGAAGCATTCATTGATATTTCTACATGGCTCTGAAAGAAATTCGGGAAATGTATTTAAATTAAATCAAAGAAATTTCAATCGATGCTTTATGTATTAGTAGCTGAAATAAACTAGTCTGTTCAAACTTAAATTAAGGTCGGCTCAGGCCTATGTGTGCATACGAGAAAACTTGTGATGGAAACTGTAGTATAATAACATTGGATAAGTGCATTTATGTTTTTAAAAAAATACTGGTTCTATTCCCAGAATGATAAGATGAAGACATATTGGAAACCAGCCTGCCTACCTGCCTGCCTGCCTGCCTGCATTTCTTCCTTCCCTCCTTCTGTCCTTCCTTCCTTCCTTCCTTCCTTCTTTCTTTCTGTCCTTCCTTCCTTCCCTCCTTCTGTCCTTCCTTCCTTCTTTCCTTCTGTCCTTCCTTCCTTCCTTCCCTCCCTCCTTCCTTCCTTCCTTCCTTCCCTCCTTCCTTCCTTCCTTCCTTCCTTCCTCCCTTCCTTCCTTCCTCTGTCCTTCCTTCCTTCCTTCCTTCCTTCCTCCCTTCCTTCCTTCCTCTGTCCTTCCCTCCTTCCTTCCTTCCTTCCTTCCTTTCTTCTTTCTTTCCTTCCTTCTGTCCTTCCTTCCTTCCTTTCATCAGTCCTCCATTTCTTCCCCCTCTCCCATCTCAGTCTCACATCACTACCCAGGCTAGCCTGTGATCCCCTGACTCAGCTTCCCAAGAGAGTAGGATTGTGGGTCTCTTCCAGCAGCCCTGGCTACTACACTTTCTTGATCCAATTAAACTGATTGTAAAAGTAGAATCCTACTGTATGTTTCTTATCCATGTGTCTGTCACTTCTGTTTAATAGACAATTGGTATGTTTTGTTTGCCCCAAAGACAGAAGATTTGCACTGAGTTATAATTGTATTTTTAATTTTGTTTCTCAGCCTTAAATCCCTCTTGGCCTGACATCATCCACAGCTCTGCTCAGCTTCCTCTCTTCTTAATGAAGGTATGTCCTCTCGAAGCCATGCTCCTTTACCAAAGCCATAGCCATGCACCATTTTTGTTAGTAAACTTTTTTGTGTGCATAATCTCCATAGTAGCTAAATTCATCAGTTCTGTCTGAAGAAAGATTGTTACTTCTGATAATGAACACAGTGTTATGGCTGGTGACCATGTTCAGTTAGTGGTGCCTTGCTGAGAACAGAAACTACTCTGTTTTAGGAAAAACAAATAAGTAGTATAGGGAACTGAGCATGTGTAATTACATTGGGAGGACTGGAGTGTAAACATTTGTTTTGAGGTCTAGAAATCAGTGACAGCCTGATTCAACCCAGAATCACCTACGAAGAAAGTCTCAATGAGGAATTTTCTGAATCAGGTTGACCTGTGGACGTTTCTGTGAGGGACTGTCTCGGCTGACTTGGTTGGTATGGGAAGACCCAGCCTGAAAGTGGGAAGAACCATTCCCTGGTTGGGTCACTGAATTCTCTCATAGTAAAGAAGGCTAATTGAGCACAGGCTATGCATTCTCTCTGCTCCTGACTGTGGACATGGTGTGACCAGCTGTCTCAAGCCCATGCTGCCATGATTTCCCCGCAGCGATGGACTGTAACTAAGAACTGTGACCTAAAACACACCCTTTTCCCCCTGAGCTGATTTTTATCACAGTATTTCATCACAGCAATAAAATGAAACAGGACAGGACTTGGTACTAAGGGAGTGAGGTCATTACCGTCATAAAACTGTGTTGGGGGCTAGAGAGACAGCTCTGAGGGTAAAAGTCCTAGATGCTCTTGCAGAAGAACTGGGTTCAGTTCCAGCATGCACATGGTGGTTTACAACCATTTCTAGTTCCAGTTCCAGTGGATTTGATGCCCTCTTTTGATCCCTTCCGGCACCAGGCACACTGTGATGCACATATATGCATTCAGGCAAAACATTCATATATATAAAATAAAAATCTGAAAACAAAAGTTTAAACTGAATGTGTTGTTTTTGTACTTTTGGACTATGTTGTTGGAAGAATGTGGAAGCTTTTGATATATTGATCTAGAAAAGCCAATGCATGCTAGAAACAGTTTGATGGGCTAATCTGGTGGGATCTTGGAAGACAGTAAAAAAAAAAAAAAAAAAAAAAAAAAGCATCTATTAATTTATTTAATCGAGTACGAAAGGCCAGACACTGCATGTGAGCTGGAGGGAAAAATAAGAGTGTCGTGAGCACAGAAGACAGAGCCATCAGGACGTGAACTTATGGAGGTGAGAGTCCTGCGGGAAAGATGTGCACACATCTCCATCCCCGCTGTGTCTACTGGACCTACCTTTGTCCATTGTTTCCCACCAGTGTTGGCTAGCCTCACATCTGCCATCTCTTAGCAAGCTTGTCAGTAACTTTTCCCGCCACAGATATCTGTCGGAAGTATGTTAGAGAGGGAAAGATTCCTTTTGGCTCATGGCTGAGGTTATAAAGTCCATCTTTGCAGGGACGGCTTGGTAGTGGGAGTGTGAGACAGCTGGAAGTCAGGAAGCAGGGGATGGATGTCCATGCTCAGCTGGCTCCTTTCTTCTTTCCCTATTTTTGTTCAGTCTGGGAACTCTATTGTGTGAAATGGTGCCACCCACCTTCCCTGATCACCCACATTCTCCAGAAACACCTTCCTCAACATATCTACAGGTGTGTCTCCAGGCTATTTTAAATCCAGTCAAGAGTTGACATTTGAAATCTATTATCACACAAACTCTTCTAAGGACTGGATGCTATACCAAATACATCAAACAATAATAGTATTTGTTAATAGTGTCTTACTGAATTGTGGTTAGAGGAATGTAAATTGTCTATATTGAATAATCTATATCATCTGTCACTCTAGCTAGTTAGGCAATCAGTCTTTCCAACTATTTGTAAGTGGCCTAAGAACATTTTCCATTTCTTTATAGGGACTCACCAGACTGAGGTCTTGAGGGAACTTTATTCCAGACTGGTGACAGCCCTCGGGTGGGGCTCTCCAGGGCTGCAGTGCTGGGCGGATTACTGAATTTGGTTAAAGGTGTCTCATTCTTCTCTAAGTAGTTCAACTGGCCAGTGCTAGCCAGCATTCTAAGTGGGATCTCATCGTCATTCACAGTGCAGATTGGGATGTTGTTCAAACCTGGAAAAAGAAGGATAACCATTTGTTTGTTTGTTGACAAACCTGTCTGGAACATACCCCATCACTCACTGTCACCTAATGAATGCTCTTACGTTTCCTACAGCACTTACCACTAGTCTTATTAAATCTGTTTGTAAACTGCTTGTCAGAGCTGCACTAGTATATGAGCCCCGCGGATGAGTGTTTTACCTGTTTTGTTTACTGTCTGTTGCTAGTACCTACTCCAGTGCCTGGCAGAAAGCTAGCGAGCTTCGATGGCTGAATGAACGGCTGGATAATACAACCAAATACAAGGCTTTTATTTGGTTAAATACTTCATACTTTACTAAAGGTAACTTTCTATACAGAAATGAGAATTCTTGAAGACACTATCAGATATTATCATTATACTTTAAACACTAGAATAATGATTGGCCCTGATACGTAATAAATAATTGCATAAGAAATTAAATATAGGTAACCTTACACACAAACACATGTATTGAAACTCCTAATTTCTCTTTTAATTAGGTTTTTAGAAAGAAAGCATGCAGTATATGTGTTGTGTGTGTTGGAGGACTTCACGAGAGAATAGATCACTCCATTCCTAGCTTGTTTCCTTATTAATGGTTCACACTTTTTCCATACTCACATACAAATGTGCACACGTGGCAATCTCATACCAGACAGAAATAAAAGGAAAGAATTCAGATTCCATCTAATCAAGAGTTAGGTAAGAACTACTTTTCAAAGGTGTAAAGGAAAAAATACAACAGCATGGTAGTGGTTTGAAAGTCCAGTGGGACATTCATAACTGACAGCTTGTCCATGAGAAGTGAATTCAACCTGGCAGTGAAGGAAGACTTGTCCTCCAGCTCAGCAAAGGGTTCGGGAATGGAGCTGGGCTCCAGAGAGACCAGTGCCCTCTCTGGGGAGTCAAGTTTCTGCGGCTGAGGTTCTAAAGCTCCCTTGTCTGAGATCCCATCAAACGCTCTGTCCTCATGGCCCTTCGTCTCTGATTGATATTCAATCTTAGTTTGATGGAAGAGTGGCTGTTTCTGTCCAGGGTAACTGTTTCCTTAGTGGATGACTATCCTTTAGCAGGAAGTTTTAAATTACAGAAATGATTAACTAAGAAAATGCGTACTATTTATCCTAGTTTGCTTTCCTATCGCTGTAATAAAACACCACAACCAGAAACTTGGGAGAGGAGAGGTTAGTTTGGCTAACACATCCACATCACAGTGCATCATAAAGGGGAGCCAGAGCAGAAGCTCAAGGAAGGAACCTGGAGGCAGGAACTGAAGCAGAGGCCATCTCTACCATTGTTATGAGTCTCTACTATTGATTCATAAGGCTGTATCAACTTTTGATGCTTATGGCTCTGTCTGGGAAATTGCCTTTTGATGAATGGCACCCTCATGCACAGCAGAGCACCACCACCTAATTCCTGGCTTATGGAAGTCATAAAGACTGAGTCTTTTTTTATTTAATTAATATTTTATTCATTTTACATACCAATCACAGATCCTCCTCTTCCCTCCTCCCACCCCTCAAGCCTTCCCTCCCCAATCCACCTCCCATTCCCTCCTACAAGAAGGTAAGCCCTCCCATGGGGAACCAGCATAGCCTGGTACATTCAGTAGAGGCAGGTCCAAGTTCCCCCCTCCCCCGCCCCACCTCAAGGCTGTGCAAGGTGTCCCACCATAGGCACTGGGCTCCAAAACACCAGCTCATGCACCAGGGATGGATCCTGATCCCACTGCCAGGGGCTCCCTTAAGCAGATCATGCTACACAACTGTCTAGCTATGCAGAGGGCCTAGTCCAGGCCCGTGGAGGCTTCACAGCTGTTGATCTAAATTTCATGAGTTCCCACTAGTTTGGTTTGGTTGTCTCTGCAAGTTTCTCGATCATAATCTTTATGCCCCTTGCTCACAGAATCCCTCTTCTCTCTCTCTTCAACTGGACTCCTGGAGCTCGGTCTGGTGTTTGGCTGTGGATCTCTGCATCTGCTTCCATCAGTTACTGGATGAAAGCTCTATGATGACAGTTAGGGTATTAACCAAATTTGATTACTGGAGTAAGCCAGTTCAGGCACCCTCTCCACTATTGCTAGTAGTCTAAGCTGGGGTCATACGTGTCGATTCCTGGGAACTTCCCTAGCACCTGGTTTCTCCCTATCCCCATGATGTCTCTCTCTGTCACGGTGTCTCTTTCAAGGCTTTTCCACTCCATCCCTTTTCCAGCTCGACCATCCCATTCCCTTATGTTCTCATTCCCTATCCCCAGTTTACTTATGGAGATCTCATCTATTTCCCCTTCCCAGGGTGATCCATGCATCCCTCTTTGGGTCCTCCTTGCTAGCTAGCTTCTCTGGAGCTGTGGGTTGCAGTCCGGTTATCCTTTGCTTTACATCTAGTATCCACTTATGAGTGAGTACATACCATGTTTGTCTTTCTGAGTCTGGGTTACCTTACTCAGGATAATATTTTTTAGTTCCATCCATTTGCCTGAAAATTTCATGATGTCATTGATTTTACTGCTGAGTGTATATGCACCACATTTTCTTAATCCACTGTTCAGTTGAGGGGCATCTAGGTTGTTTCTAGGTTCTGGCTATTACAAATAGTGCTGTTATGAACATAGTTGAGCATGTGTCCTTGTGGTATGATTGAGTATTCCTTGGGTATATGCCCAAGAGTGGTATAGCTGGGTCTTGAGGGAGGTTGAGTCCCAATTTTCTAAGAAAGCACCATATTGATTTCCAAAGCAGCTGTACAAGTTTGCACTCCTACCAGCAGTGGAGGAGTGTTCCCCTTGCTCCACATCCTCTCCAACATAAGCTGTTATCAGTATTTTTTATCTTAAAGGCTGAGTCTTTATCTGAAATTGAGAACCCTATAAAAAGACTACCCCATCCCTGCTCTCCCTTGTGGGCTTGGTTGAGGCCTCTGTGACATCCATGTGGTATTTTACTTTCTCCTTCTTGTTTAATTCTGCTTCGTTTCTTTTGTTTCTCTAGAGGAAAACATAGGATACTATGGCAAAATATCACCTGACCATCTACATTGAGGATATGGGGCCTAGAGCATCTCTTTGAAGTGACATTTAAGCCAACATCTGAAAGATGAGAGATATCATTAATGGTGTTTTCTGTATAGAGAAAATAAGTGTGAAAACCCAGAACTTATGAAGGGCTTGTTATACCTTCAAGAAACTTGGACAAGCCCAAGTATAAGGTGTGTGCATATGTAGGTGGGGAATATGTGAGATGAGTTATAAAAGACAGAGGTCACATCACAGGATTAGACAATATTATCATATGTGCCTCTGAGGGATTTTAGCAAGATGTTTAAATGGCCAAATTTACATTTTAAATATGATTTGTGTGGTGGTTTAATAGAGAATGGATTGGATAAGAGTAACTGATTTTTCTGGGTTTTTTGCATCATGACCATCCTGATTATGTTTGTCAGATTTGTCAAAATAAGGATAGCAGTAATATTAGCGAGTATGATTTGAATGGGATGTTGAGGCATGTGGGAGCCCACAAAGATTTCCTAGTGAGACCTGAGCCTGATTTACACAGCAGGGCTGCATCAGGGGATGAACTGACCATGTGCATGGTTACCAGGTGTTTGGAAGCGTCTGCACTTGGCTGTGCTAGGGGGGCAATCTTTTGTTCCAATCCTTGACATTCCTTTAAAAAAGCCCTTTAGAAGAGACAGAAGGGGCCAGTAAGGATCTGGGTCTTCCCGAGGATATCCTGTGTTTCTATCTGTCTCTCTCTCCCCTCTATATTTCTATCTAAATCTCTTATCCCTCACTCCTCAAGAATACCCTGGGGGAAAAAGGTGGGGGCAGGCCCCCCACAGAGGCAGCACAATGCAGTGGGCTGAAGAGTGGCTCGAAGATAAGGCTGTGAGAACCCTGAGTACACATACCTCTCCTGTCTATGATGTGTGTTTTGTAGCATGATATACAGAACTTCCTAAATGTGCTCAGCAGCCAGTGACCCCTTTCCTCCTCTCCAAATGAGCTGTACTCCGCGTATCTATCTCCTGCTCCATTTCCTGATGCTCTTTTCCATGTTGTCAACTTTCATATTCACACATGTAACCACAACACAGTACTATTGTTACCAGGCTCTGCCTGTGTGGTCACTCCAAGTCAGTGTTTGTTGACTACTTATTGAGGAAGCAAGGTGGCTCTCATAGGAATATGAGTCTCAGGGAATAAGATGAAGGACTAGTGATTAACTCAGCAACTGAGGTAGCTTTTGTGGAGGGAGGTGTCCTACAGTTGCCCCCATCTGGAGTGAACTGACTGAGTCACTCTATCTAGTGCCAACAGTTCTGTTTGTTTTCCATGTGCTTTGTAATCTTGATAACTCCACCTCCTCAAACACCATTTCTCTCTAGAGGACAGATATATGTAGAAATTATATGTGCGTTTATTCTTCAGTACAAGCTGAGAGAATATACTGGCAATGTCTGGTTTCCAAGGAGCTTGCTACAGAAAGATGAGGAAATGGAAAGGGAAGGAAAGATAGGGAGGGAGGGAGGTAAGGAGGTAGAGAAGAGAGGAGGAAAAGAAGGAGATAAAATATATGCTCTTTAGTATGACATGGTCAGTAATAGAGTGGCTGGTTATCATGTGCATGACCCTGGGTTCCATACCCAGCATGTATGCATATATATGTACATAAATGCACTTCATATGGCTTATGTTTAGATCCTGGCATGGGTGTCATGATGGCTCTTCTTGTTTGTCAATTTGACTACATCTGGAATTAACTAAAACTCAAAAATGGCTGGGCACACACCCATAAAGAATTTTTTACTTAACTGGATCATCTGAAGTGGGAAGGTCCACTTCTAATCTGGACCTTTGAGATGGGAAGACATACCCTTAATTCGGATCTTTAAAGGTGGGAAAACCCACCTCTAATCTGGGCCATACCTTCTGCTGGAAGCCTATATAAAGGATATGGAAGAAAGATGCTCTCTCTTTTTGCCTGCTTCTTCCCACCCTTGCTAGCAAGTCCATTCCTTCACTGGCATTAGAGCTTATTTCTTTGGGATTCTGGCATATACTGAAGGCTATGTGAGAAATCCAGCCTCATGGACTGAACAGTCACTGGATTCTTGAACCTCTCATTGGTAGACAGTCATTATTGGATTAGCTGGACCACAGTCTGTAAATCATTCCAACAACTCTCCTTCAGATAGATGGATGGATAGATAGATAGATAGATAGATAGATAGATAGATAGATAGATAGACGGATGGACGGATGGATGGATGGATAAATAGATAGATAGATAGATGATAGATAGGAGATAGATAGATAGATAGATAGATAGATAGATGATAAATAGATTCATTCATGAAGTTCCATTATTCTAGAGCACCCTAATACAGGTGTGAAGGTAGTTAAGAATTTAAAATACATTTAAGCCAATTGGTCAGTATCACCTTGAGCTCCCTGAATGACTTCCCAGGCTCTGAGTAGTTTAGTCCTTAGGCCCATGTCCCAACACAAGCAATCTATGGGCTAATGTCTAGCAGAGAAGGTACTCACAAATGTATACAGGCACTATGACCTGGCTTCTAATATCTTAGCACCTTCTTTTACCAGTGGTCAAATACTTTAAGTAAAAATTACAGTTTTTGCACAGAGGAGAAAAATATCCTACTAGCTGAAGTCCCATTACCTTTGATGTGGCAAACTCTTCTGGGATGAGGCGTGTGCCTGACTAGGAAGCAGCTGTCATTTCTCGCCATCATGTGGTTGCCTTTGCTCTCTGAGTGAAGAGAAGATGTTGGGGATTTGAGGATCGAGTTCATGGCTTGTTGGGTTTCCTCTCCCCAGTTGCCACAAGAGTTCTTGGGATCTAGCTTGATTGGCTTCACTCACAGATGGGCTGAAACCTTGAAAACACAGAATGTCAAATCAAACTTCTATAAACATTCCAGACCAGAATAGAACATAAGTTCCCCTGGAAAAAAATTGAAGTACCTGTGAAAATGACCTCTATTTTACTTTTAATTGTATTTAAGATCACTGTTGTCCAATGAATAATTAATTTACATGATTATTTCTTTTAATGAAGTAAATTTAAAGTAGGCTTTTAAAATACTATATCAGCAAAAACACTTTACATTAAATTAGCCTTATATAAGGAACTTTCATTTTGTATCTTTAAGAAACCTAGATTTTCAAATTTATATCATTCTTCAAACAGCTAAGACTCCTAAGAGAGTAAAAAGATGAGGGAATGACACTAGTCATTCAGCTGATAAGCTGGATAGCATTTGCTAAGTTGTTTGCAACATCCAGTGATATTAGATATTCTTTCAATCATTGATTAACACCAATTACACACCATAGATACAGAACTTTAAAATGTTATGGTTCTTGATGAACTCACAACCAAATGAGGGGGGTGGAAAATGGATTCAGAACATACAAAAGAATTATTTAAACCTTCTGAAAATGACATGCTATTCTTGGAGCTGTAGAGAAGGCTCAGAGGTTAAGAGCACTAGGCAGGTCTTTCAGAGGACCAGGTTTTGACTCCCAGCACCCATATGGTGGCTCAAAACCAACTATAACTCCAGTCCCTGGGGATCTGATGCCCTCTTCAGGACTCTTCAGGCACTTCATGTACATGACACACAGACAAACCCACGGAAAACACCCCCACACATAAAATAAATAAATGCAATTTAAAGAGACATACTACTCTTGAAATTTAAGAAGACATTTTTGATAGATGTAGTATATTTTCTATGTTATATGTAAACGTTATTCATCATACCAGAACTGGCAAAGAGACATTTTTATTCCCATTTTTTTTTCTGGTCAGAGTAACATGTAGTACCAAATGTCCAATAAATGGATGTTGTTGAGTATTTCTGGTTTATTGGCATCTTTTGTTTATCCATTTATGTAGTAGTAGTAGTAGTAGTAGTAGTAGTAGTAGTAGTAGTAGTAGTAAAATATATGTGTGTGTGAGAGAGAGACAGAGACAGAGAGAGAGAGAGACACAGAGAGAGAGAAAGACAGAGAGAGAGAGAGTGGGCTCATGCATGCTGCAATGTGCATGTGCAGGTCAGAGTACAACTTTTACAAGTGGGTTCTTTCATTCCATCTTGGGATAGGGGGATTGATCTCAGATCTTTAGGCTCATACAGCAATTACTTTTACCCACTGAGCCATCTCACCAGTCCCTATTTATATCTTTTTATACCATAGCAATCTGTTCAAGTTTTTCCAGGGTATATTTTTAGAATGCCTGGTGTATAAATTATCAGCCATGTTACCAGAAAACACATGAATTTTAAGAATTTCATTTTGGTGTGTGTGTGTGTGTGTGTGTGTGTGTGTGTGTGTGTGTGTGTGTGTTTGTGTGTCTATCTGTGTGTGTTTATGTGTATATGTGTATGTTTATGTGTGTATGTCTGTATCTGTGTGTGTGTCTGTGTCTGTGTGTGTCTCTCTCTGTGTCTGTGTGTGTCTCTGTGTGTACCTGTGTGTGTTTTAGTTAGCTTTAATGGTCAGCTTGGCACAGCATAGAGCCACCTGAGAAAGGACATCTCAAATGAGGATTTCCCAGACCAAGCTGGATTATTTGGGCACATCTGTGGGAGACTGTCATGATTACTAATGTTGTAGAAGGATCCAGCTCTATGGATGGTACCATTCCCTGGTAGGTGGTGCTGGGCTATATAAGAAAGCTAACTAAATATGAGGGTCATTGGGTTTCTATCACTGTGATAAGACACCATGACTAAAAATAACTCTCAGGTCATATTCCTTCGTGAGGATAGTCAGGGCAGTAACTCAAGCTGAGAAGGAAACTGGAGGCAGAAACTGAAACAGAGGCCATGGAGGAACACTCCTCATAGGCTGGCTTTTCCAGGTTTGCTCAGCCTGCTTTTTTATACATCATAGGACCACCTGCCCAGGGGTGGCACTACCCACAGTGAATGGTCCCTCCCACATCAATTACTTGTTAAGAAAGCACCCTACAGGCTTGCCTATAGCCCTATCTTTTGGAGGCATTTTCTCAATCGAGGTTTCCTTCTCTCAGCTTATGTCAAGCTGACATAAAACTATCTAGCACAATAGGTCTGTGAGCAAGCCAGTAAGCGACATCCTCCATGGTTTCAGTTATGCTTACTTCGTCTATGAAGTGCGGTCCTTGGTTGGAGGTAACGCTGTCTGTAATGGCAAACAGGCCTGCCTTCAAGTTCCTGCCTGAGTCCCTGGCCTGGCTTCCCTCAATGCCAGACTCTGAGTTAGAGGTTGAAACAAACCTTCCCTTCTCCTAAGTTGCTTTTGGTCATGGGATTTGTTGCAGCAACAGAATGGAACTAGGATGGCATTCTAAAGTTATTCTAGGTTAGATAAATTATGCTTAAATATTAAATTTAGAAAGTATCATTACTTAACAACAAATGGTATGTGTTTATATATATTAATATTTTTATTTCATAATTAATTTAATTTTATATATCAGCCACAGATTCACCTGTCCTCCCTCCTCCCACCCCCCAGCCCTCCCCTGTAATTCACCCCCCCATTCCCACCTCCTCCAAGGCAAGGTCTCTCCTGGGGAGTCAGACCAGCCTGGTAGATTCAGTTGGGGCAGGTCCAGTCTCCTTCTCCCTACACCAAGGCTGAGCAAAGTGTCTCAGCATAGGCCCTAGGTTCCAAAAAGCCAGCTCATGCACCAAGGACAGGTCCCGGTTCCACTGCCTGGGGGCCTCCCAAACAGTTCAAGCTAATCGACTGTCTCACTTATCCAGAGGGCCTGGTTCAGTTCCATGGGGGCTCCTCAGCTATTGGTTCATAGTTCATGTGTTTCCACTAGTTTGGCTATTTGTCCCTGTGCTTTTTCCAATCATGGTCTCAATATTTCTTGCTTATATAATCCCTCCTCTCTTTCACCCACTGGACTCCTGGAGTTCCACCTGGGGCTTGGCTGTGGACCAGTGGAACTGAACTGAAGACCCTGACATTAATCCGCACACCTATGAACATATGATTTTCAACAAAGAAGCCAAAATTATACAATGGAAAAAAGAAAGCATCTTCAACAAATGGTGCTGGCATAACTGGATATCAACATGTAGAAGACTGCAAATAGATCCATATCTGTCACCATGCACAAAACTTAAGTCCAAGTGGATCAAAGACCTCAACATAAATCCAGTTACCTTGAGTCTGATAGAAGAGAAAGTAGGAAGTAGTCTTGAATGCATTGGCATCAGAGATCACTTCATAAATATAACACCAGTAGCACAGACACTGAGAGAAACAATTAATAAATGGGACCTCTTGAAACTGAGAAGCTTTTGTAGGGCAAAGGACATGGTCAGCAAGATAAAACGATAGCCTACAGAATGGGAAAAGATCTTCACCAACCCCACATCTGACAGAGGGCTGATATCCAGAATATATAAAGAACTCAAGAAATTAGACATCAAGATGCCCAACAGTCCAATTAAAAAATGGGCTATAGCCGGGCGGTGGTGGCGCACGCCTTTAATCCCAGCACTTGGGAGGCAGAGCCAGGCGGATCTCTGTGAGTTTGAGGCCAGCCTGGGCTACCAAGTGAGTTCCAGGAAAGCGCAAAGCTACACAGAGAAACCCTGTCTCGAAAAACCAAAAAAAAAAAAATGGGCTATAGAGCTAAACAGAGAATTCTCAACAGAAGAAGCTCAAATGACTGAAAGACATTTAAGGAATTGCTCAACACCCTTAATCATCAGGGAAATACAAATCAGAATGACTCTGAGATACCATCTTACACCCGTCTGAACAGCTAAGATCAAAAACATTGAAGACAGCTTATGTTGGAGAGGATGTGGAGCAAGAAGAACACTCCTCCACTGTTGGTGGGAATGCAAACTTGTACAGCTGCTTTGGAAATCAATATGGCGCTTTCTTAGAAAATTGGGAATCAACTTCCCTCAAGACCCAGCTATACCACTCTTGGACATATACCCAAGGAATGCTCAATCATACCACAAAGACACATGCTCAACTATGTTTGTAGGAGCATTATTTGTAATAGCCAGAACCTGGAAACAACCTAGATGCCCTTCAACTGAAGAATAGATAAATAAAATGTGGTACATATATGCAATGGAGTACTACTCAGCAGAGAAAAACAATGACATCATGAGGTTTGTAGGCAAATGGATGGAACTAGAAAATATCCTGAGTGAGGTAACCCAGACTCAGAAAGACAAACATGGTATGTACTCACTCATAAGTGGATACTAGATGTAAAGCAAAGGATAACCAGACTGCAACTCACAACTCCATACTGCTACCTAGTAAAGAGGACACTAAGAAAGACACAGAGATGGCCCAACAACAGAGAAATGGATGAGATCTACATGAGCAAAGTGGGGGTGAGGGTGGGGTAATGGAGGGCAAGGGTTGAGGGAAAGAGAGCTTAGGGGAGCGGGAGGTCCCAGCTGGATCAGGAACAGAGTGGGAGAACAAGGAAAGAGATACCATGATAAATGAAGACCCCATGGGAGTAGGAAGAAGCAGAGTGCTAGAGAGGTCCTTAGAAATCCACAAAGATACCTCCACTATAGACTACTGGCAATGGTCGAGAGAGTGCCTGAGCTGACCTACTCTGGTGATCAGATGGCCGAACACCCTAACTGTCGTGGCAGAACTCTCATCTAGTGACTGATGGAAGCAGATGCACAAATGGTATATTTTGTTATTACTCTTTAGGACTATCACAAGGAGAGTTAATTCTAATCTCTTTGTATGGTCAAACTACATTTTACTGATAGATTTTTGAGAGAGAGCCTCACTATTAGCTCAGGCTGGCCTGGAACTCACAATTCTCCTGAGCCCTCTGAGTGTTGGGATCATGTCTACCACACCAGGCCTATAATCAAACTTTACACTTAGTGTAGCAGGCTTTCCTGTAGGCCACCAACCAGCTCCCAAATCATGACACAGAGATTTCTTATTAGAA